AGCACCAATTCTACTTTATAACAGAGTGAAAACACACGTAAACCCCAGTAACCTCACTGAATATCCCTCACAAATCCTTTTAATTTCACAATTCTTCAAAATCACAGTAATCTCCCTTCAGTCACTGCTGACGTTTCTATAAATGTATTTAATCAGTACTAAAACATTAAAGAACAGAATATAAAATCTCAAGTTCATTACATCACTAACAAAATCATTAAGTGCTTAGAAAATATTTTAGAATATGCAACATTTTGCACCTTTTACTGTTTAATTTTCACAAAACCAGGATGTCTTGAAAGAAAGATCCCATGATACTCTGGCATGTGACAGCTTGCTACTGCCTATGAATTTGATTAGAAAAGTGTTCATCATTTTAGAGTGCAGAATAAGACACTACATCGTTAAATACAGGTAAGGCGATTGAGCTTCAAAGATCTCTCCTGTTCTTGCACACAACTCATTCCACAGTCCTGCTAGAACACATTTCGCAGTTCCTGTGCTATTCTGCTGTTGCTTGGCTGCTCATTTTTGCATCCTTCTCTCACTCCATTATGTTGTGATACACTCAGATGGAAATAAACGCACAAGAAAGTTAATAATCTACTAAGAATTTTTTTTCACAGAACACACTGTACATAGAATCAGTGTACAGAGATACAGGAACAAAGAATACAGGATAAAAGAATTAAAAAACCTAATTCATATTTCTTATACTGCTGACAGGATCCTTACCATAACTACTTCTGTGAGCAGGGGATATGCAACTCCTCTCACCACAGTTGTATTCAACTAGCTCTGTTTTATGCAGGAGAGAATTAAATAGTGAAAGAGCAATAGTGTTTTGTTTTTAAAGAAGAGACAGAAGGATGCACACGTGGAAGGGAGCATTTGCCTCATGTCACAGACAAGACCTAGCAATACACAGTATCTGCATACTTCATGGGCTATCATAGGGTTTAGAGCTTTCTTTGGTATTTCAAGCATTCGGAATGTCACAACTGGCCACACTTCACAAAAGGGATAGCCAGCTGCTGGCCTTGTAACTCATATAAGGTCCCCAAGCCCCAGTACAGTTGATAGCTAACTAGGGGAGCAAGTCATTCAGCTGCCATTCTTGTCTTCCTATATCCAGGGGCTTGCTGAAAAGAGGGGTTCAAAAACTGGATCAGGTGTCCTGGTAAGGTAGGCTCACTCTTTTCGTGTGCTCCTCTCTCTGCACATACTCTGAGGAGCTACTCTTCACAGAAGTTGCCAGTAACTTTTGAGGACACACTGGACCTTCCCTCTTAAGAAAGTGGCAAAGTAGGTTGCAGTAGCTAGTTGAATACCACTGCTCTATATAGATGGGGAAAGCATAAAGGAATAGCAAGTGTATATGGAAACTGTTCCTTCAAAACACATCAAAACTTCAATTTCAGATTGAAGGCACTGGAAACCATGCTATAATAACCAGCTTTGAAATGCTAGCTGCAAAGAGCTTTTGCCAAGGAAATGAGAGTCAAAATACAAACGGGGAAAGTGTTTTGTCATTTCAGTAGAGATTTAGTGCCAAAAGAAAACATACCAATTTTCCTATTTCCTTAGAAATGGAGAAAAATGGCATCAGAAAGTTTCAAAAGACCACTGGAATAGACCTAACAACATCTTGGTTAGGAACAGTGATGACAATGGGATGCAGCACTTCTGTGTCAGCTGTTGCTACCAAGCATGGTGAAGACCACATAAGATACGGGAAAGCAAATGCAAGTGAATAGTGCGTTTGAGGTATCCACTGACAGCTAGTATTTCAGAAGTTCAGATCCCTGAAAAGTTTCAAAATTTAACTCTTGACCTTTTCCCAGAAAGTAAGACCTGGAAGTAGGAATCGCATGCCTATGTCATCTTTGGCTACAATTCTGCTTCAGAACAATCCAAACAAGCACCTATAGCAGTTTAATCATCTCTCATCTTTCTTGCTTGTAGCAGGGTTCTATTCAAGAAGAGCACCTGGCTCACAAATCTGACTTGCCAGCAATGATTAACTCACAAAACAAATTAGTTAACTTTAAATATTTCCCTTATTTAGAAATAGTAGCCATGTGACAAAATTCAGTATAAGACTATTCTGTTGCCTGCTGTAGTAATACTGTTATTGGGGCTCAGGCAGAAAACCTTGATCCCCAGGGTGAGTGGGAGCCTTCTTGTCTATATGGCTCAAGGTAAATCCCCCCTCCCAGCGTCTGCCTGTGCACCTGTAAGGCACAGCTGTTTGCCTGGACCCATCTGCACTCCATGCATTACCTCACAGCCCAGGACAAAAACTTGTGGTAGGTGTTTCTTTCAGCCATGTGCCAGAGTAACTAAGGCTTTGTCTGTCACAGTCCACCAGAGCACCATCTTCTACAGTATAAGGCTGGGAACCTTATACTCTCACATAACAAAACAGATCACCAACGAATCTGAATCTTTCCCATATATGCAGCAATATTTTGTTTCACTTTAAAAAAATAAGATCATAACCACCAAATGGTGTAAAAATCTGGTATAACCAACCAAATTTTCAGAGCAAGCTAAATTTAGAACCCTAACTTAAATATTAAGTTTAATATTCACCTGATTTTTAAAGATGATGTGCACTTAAATCTACACATGAACACACCCGCGTCTAGCTTTGACTCCTTTGACACAGCAGAAGTGGAAGACAAAATAAAGATGTGTCAGCTTCAAGAACACCATGAGTGTAACATAGTGTAACATGTACAGCAAGAGGAAGAGCTCATAGTGTACTTTGTGTTTCCTTTTCACATGGTGTAGACTGTAAATACTGTGATTAAGCTTTCCAGAAGCTTCTATAAAATGGATATATACACATACATCAAGTTAATAATAAATCCTAATGTAATGTGTATCTTGTGGTATATAGCTCAAGTCAGTGCTAGACAATTACTGTAAGATAAGATGTACAATTTCAAAGCTGTATTAGAAGATGCTTAACAGGTCCCGATTTTGAAAAAAAAAAATAATGAGACAAAAGAACAACAGTGAAATTTCTTGGGAAGCATCTCTAAGAAAATATAATTTTCTAATAGATGGCTTTCAGAAAAAGCCAATCAGATAGTAAAACAAACCATGAATTAAAACCTTTCCAGTTCTCTAGCAGACTTTCCTTGGGTCTTATTTTCTTAGCCATAAAATGCTAGAAATGTTTAGAAAATTGCTTTCACATATTTTTTCCTTTTGGATTTATGTTTGCTTGCTTTTCTGTATCAAGATGAGAGACACTGACAACAAATTAATTCTCAAAGTTGGGAAAAGTTAAATTCTTCATCAGTTTTAGACAATTTGTTGGTTCAATTTCTTCACTGTAAGAAAGATTAAGATATCTGGTGACAATGTAAGGAATAGAGAAAGGAAATGACCTTGTCATTCACTACAGTGTTCAAGTGATGTGTGGCACAGCTCCTGAGGTTGCCCTACCTTGTATGTAACTTTTCAAGTTTCATATCAGGCAGCATAAACTACTAGGTGGTGTGAAAAATGTAATTTTAGTTATGTTCTTGAACATGCTGGAACCACACTATCATGACAAAAATAGGTGATTTTGGATAAAAATTTTATTTCTTTTTTTACATGTCATCCATTCTTATTTCTATTCTAGTTAATACAGAAATGTAAGAACTTTTCGTTGGAGAAGGAAATTTATTGAGGAGACTTAGGCAGCGCATTCTAAAATGAAATAAAACTTTATTAACCTAGTGCATTCATTTTCTTTAAATCACTTGAAGAAAAAAATGCTATTTAAATAAAATACAACCTTTTAAAAAAGCAGTAAAGCAGATGGGGAGAAGAAAGCTAGAGAGCATAATGGATTCTAAACAGAGAACATTGACCATGTAATTACAGGGCTGCTCTATGTGCTGCAGTGAAAAAAAAAAAAAGTCTACTTAGAAAGTAGGATCATTTTGGGAGAGGCAAAAGGTAAGACCAGTATGTTTAACCAGCTTTTAATTTGCTTGATTGCTTTTACTCTATGAATTTCCTAGCACAGGACTAGACAAATATAGCACTTGCAATTTTTTTCAGACATGTTGTACAATCTATTCCACCATACTCTCAGAATCTCAGAACAATCTTTATTAGGGCTGCCTGCTCATAAACATTTATGGGGAACAGGATTTGCAACAAAACCCCAAATTATCCCCTAGAAGTCTTTGGGCTTAAAATCAGTAGAAATACCAATACAACCAGATAATCTACCACCTACTTTTCTAAAGGCCACTGAAGAAGCAGCTGAGACAGACAAAAAAAAGCGTTTGAAATTCTGGATCCAATGAATCCAACAGCAGTGTCCCACAGGTAAACAAGTGAGGCCGTATATCACATACTGGTTTAGGACTGAGCCAGAAGCAGTCTATAGAACAACATGAAAGGTAATGTAGTAATTTTCATCAAGAAAACTGTATTTTCTACAGAGAGCAGAAAGCAAATTATACTATAGCTAGGATTTTCCAAACCAGGATACTATTGTGAAATGCACACTTTTGACTACTGAGACACTTAAAAGTAACTGGTAATTATCTCTGTACTAAATACACATTCCTCAACAGCAATATTTCAGATTGGGGATTCACACAATTCTGTAATCTCTTGATTTCTCTGATGGTTTTGCCCCAAACATCACTTCCAACTTCTCACTAGCTGTCTGTGTCTGTACAATCATGTAACATAGATGATGTATTAGACAAAATACATATGCATTAATCAGAATATCCTCTAGTCACTGTTTAGAGTGGAACCTCAAACAAGATCAGTATTTGGATTGGGAGATAACACAAACAAGAAAAAAAATATTGGATTTTACACCAACACCTCAGTTTAGTGTGTTCCTTACAAGGTAGTTCTTTATCATGCTTTTACATCTAGGTTCTACATTATCTACTACTTAAAAATACCCAAATAGGTATGTTATGATTTGTATCAAGTTATTTCTCTAAGAACCTTGGGGTCTTTTTCAGGGTTTTTTTGTTTTGTTTGGGGTTTGGGGTTTTTTTTACAGTTTTTTGGGGGCTTGTTTGTTTGTAATTAAGGTACAAGCAACATTAAGAAAAATGCTCAGGACTACTTAAAATCTTTGGATGCTTACTTGTTAACTAGTGAATATTTGATCAGAACATGTGCATTAACTTTTATTAAATCTAAAAAAAGAGAAAGGTTTATTCATGCTTTATAACTGAGGTTTTATCTGATTTCAAATTAGGCTGACCAAGTATTACCTCTGAAACAACATTGTCTATCTACTGCTTTACATACAGATCCAATCTGTACAGCATTTTTGGTGTCTGCTAGAATTTGCCATTTCATGCCACCTTCCTGTTTTTCCACAGTGGTTCTGATCATTCAATGAGGATTGCACGTGTAAAGCATGTATAAAGTGTACACACAGAAACTGCAGACAGTATGCACACAAAACGTGAAGACTACATTCCAGTATTTTGTATAAAGAACATTTATCCTAATCACTTCAAGGTTTTACATTCTAATGAAAATAATGGTTGCCTCATTTATTCACAGAACTACAGCCCAGCAAGTTCGTATTTTTAATATGATGAATTTTTTTAATCAACATGAAATTTGAGAAGATGCTATTATTTTGCTTTTAATGAATACAAAATTCCAAATTATTCACCAAGCATTTCAATTTGGTTTCAGTATTTTACTTTTAATCACTGATAGCTCAAACAGTAAGGTTCTCAATAGTGAATTACCTATATTGGTAGTCATACTGTACAAGAAATCCATGAGTTTCAAGGAAGACTTATGATTGTCCTAGATTTAAATAAGTCAATTACATAATTCAAAGGTATTTCTAATTTGTGGTAAGAAGAACTCTGTGATGGCACCACTTGACAAAATAATGTATTGCAAGTCTGTGAAAATAAATGAAAAATGAACTGGACAGACTAGTATAACTTTCAAGTAAACATTTTTAAAGTTGAGTGTCCATTTAGTATTTATGTATTTGCACCACTGAAATGACAAAGATTTACCTGAAGAAAATCACCAAACCCAAAATTTTATTTCCATTTCTACAAACAAAAATTTCTTCATTTTGTGCATGCTTTTGTCTCGTTTGAAATATATGCTCCTTTTCAGAGGGAAAAAACTTAAGGCACACTGCATTTCACTGCACTGATGAATGAGATCTGATTACCTCAGAAACAGCATCAATCTAAAGTATTTTTTTCCCTTGATCAACTAAAGTGACAATGACAGAGCTTCCTTTGACTAGACAAAGATGGATTTTTTAGAAAGGACTTTAAACACTAAGATTATTTCTACTTAATTCCTGCTGTTATCAAGAAAAGGCTACATTTCTTATTTTCCCAGATGTAATATGATCTCTCCTTTAGTGTGGAAGTGACATTCAGATCCAAAGTCCCTGCATCTAGGGCCTATCCAAATCCTACCAATCTATATCTGAGTTACATATAACCATTTAAGACTCTTCAACTATTAAGGATATTTTGCACTGCCTTGCACACAAAGTGTAACACTCCAACACAATTAAAATGCTCCAGTATACAAATCAAAATGGCTGTGAAGTTTACCCTAGTTTTAGAAACAGATCATCTACCTTTAAGAATCTCACCATTTGTCTGCACTTCAACAGAAAGCTTGATACATGCCAGTGTGAACACATATCCATTATAACACAGATATGCATACAGAAAATAATTCAAAAGGAAAATTGCAGCATTAAAGCATTAAATCAGAAAGGAAAAAATGTTCAGCTAACCTATCTACAGGTTAAAATACTTTCTGATGAGATTTTTTTTTTTGTTAAATAAAGCACAAAATAGTCCCTTGTCTGAGGGCATTAGTGTTTTCATCGGATAGGAAGAAGAGAACATGTAAAATTAGCATTAGTGAGTTAACTTTAAAAGAAAAATTACAAAGTACAGAATAAGATTAGTGAACCAGTGACACCACTAATATCACTGTTACTATGCGAGTGCTGAAATGTACATTTTTAACTTCTTAAAAAGACAAAATACATTCATCTTCAACTGCACAACTTATCTTAACCACCTCTTCATTTTTAAGAGTACATAGTCTACTAGTACTTCCCTTCCTCTAATCTTTGGTAGCAGAGCTTCTAAAAGATACTAAGAGTATTCAATGAGACTACCCTTTTCTATCAAGTTTGTGCAAGATAGAAAGGAATACAAGAATTTTACAGCTTACCAACTTCAGCAAAAACCCTATTAACAGACTTTCATGCCATCCCATCACTGACAAGAATCTCACTTTTCAGATCCTATACACCTCTACTGGAAGTTATTAAAGAGATGTCATGAATATTTTTTTAAGTAGCTCTACTTGACTTCTTAACTAAGAAATATCATGTACATACATTAATAAAATTCCAAATATTTATTGAGTAGCCAAAGAACTTGGACAGACTAAGTGGAGTGAATAACATCACTAACATGACCCTTCAAGGAGAAACATAACGTCAGTTATAATTAAGAAAGTCTTGCAATACGCTGCAAAGTTTCTGCTGATGTGAATGAATACAGTAAAGCAACATGGCAGAAAAATGCTTTTGCCATTCTTGTCAAATAAACCACTTCAAATTAAAAAAGAATACCCTGACTTTATGCCTTTTAAATCAATTTCTCATCTACATAAGTAGCTAGTTTCACAGCACATGCTTACTTGTGAAAGCTTGGCACCTGAAAGGAAACTGTGACTAATGTAAAACTCAGAGTCAGTAATAGCTGTCAACAAGGGAAAGATCCTTTCATTATCTGAATTAACAACAACAAAAAACTGTCCTAGTTACTCTTTATAACTCCTGTGATTAAGTGTATCTGTTCCACTTTCATTATCAAGAGACAAAAAAGTCACCCTTTTTATGATGTTATTTTAAAATACATTACTGAGAATTCAAAGAATGAGATTTGGGATTAATTTTTTACCAGTTTCAAATCAAATGACCCAAAGACTTGAGTTAGGGGAACATGACATGAAGAAAATAAGTACTTTAAGTGTTGACCGGCATAACGTTCCCTTACACATGTTCAAAACTGATGACACTGTATTTTGAGAGAATTCTACAATGATTTGGCTTGTTTTATAGATACCTTCTATAGACAATTTATTTGATAATTTTCCAACTGTGTAAGTAATGCATGTGTATGCCAACTACAGGCTTGGTTACAGTAATCCTGTCTTGCCTTATTCAGGGTAAGAGTACCTTAACTTTGTTTATAAAGCCATTTAAATCACTGAAATGGCTCGAAGAATTACCGGTATCGTCTGCTACTGAAGCAAAGGAGTCTAACAGAATCTATTCCCTTGAGTTTGTAATAACGTGAAGCACTACATATAAAATGAAAGTGTACCAACATTTCACAGAAAAAGGCTTCAGCAAAGAAATCAAGTCCTTATAGCAAATGAAGGCTATGGTTCACATTTATAGTCTTTATGGACATTGCATTCTGCTCAAATACAGTACAATGAAAGATCAGAATTACAGGCTGTTAAAAAAGGTAATAAATACATAAACCAACTTACTGATGCATGGGGTTCTCAAGGAAATATGAACGCCTAAATATATTGTATTGCCTGCAAAGCTACCTGAAATATTTTTCAATATGTATGTTACTTAAGTAAATAGTAGATCACCACCATCTTCAGTTGCTAGAATTAACACCTTTCATCATTAGAGCAAGCTTTAAACAGGCATAAGCCAGAACTGCTGCCCAAATGCCTGGCCCCATCTTCTTTCTGTCCCATTCTCACTCCTTTTTTTGCATCAGCAAAAATTACGTGTCACTACTGTGAACCATATCAAAGAACTGGTCTGAATCTCAGGACAGCTCCTTTCAGTGCATAGTGTTGGCTTATGACGGCTTAATCTACAACGAGAATGGGAAGTCTTCACTCAACTCTGAAAGACTTAGAAACTTCCTACTGACAGAAACCACACTGTTTTGGTAATATTAAGTCCCTTCTGAGTTTCTGAATACAGCTATTTTGGTAATATTTGTCTGAACGCTACATTAATAAAGTAAGAAATACAACAGTTCTAGCTGTAAAAATGATGCAACTGAAGACTACAACAAACTTTTATTCTACAAAAAAAAAATAGTTGTTAGAAATTGATGGCATAACACATATATACAGTAGCCAATTTATTCATGTTTGAAATATATTAACAATGGTGAAAAAATTATAATACATTGTTTATACCACTACTAACCAAATTGTTTAACATCTCTGACCTTGTAATTTACCTAAATCATCATACTCTGAGCAATTTAGCATACTGCCAGTCCAAGCTTAGCAAAACCAAAACAGATTGACTTTCAGTTTTAAAAAGGCATTTCACAAAATGTTTGAAAAGGAAAGCTACTGCCAATATGTGTTTGATTCTGAGTACTTGTCATCTATGACTGAAGCTTTTTCAAACTGCATTTTCTTAATTTCATTCAAAAATGAAATTAAGAAAATAACTTTAAGTTTGAAAAGTATCCTTACAGCTATTTTGTTAGTTTGGACTTTCACCCAACTGTATCTGCCTGACCAGAATACTACTAGTAAGTGGTGCAGCAGCATCAGTCAAGTTCTCTGAGCCAGAGTCTGCCCATGAAGGTACTTTTACCTTAAACATTGTTCATCTCAACTCCCGAGACACGTTCTGGTAATAAACACATCAGCAAGGTCTATTACAAAGCAATAGTTATTTAATGCATACCTCACTACATCCTAATGACTACTACTTGCACAGTAGATAACGAATCATTCATTCAAGTCCACTCTTTCTTTAAGCTGACGGGTTTTTTACTATCCAGAATAAAAGTCCCTGTAATTGAAAAACTGAACCATGACACAGCATGAAAAAATACCCCACCTCCCAGAGGGAGAGGGCAACACACACATGTGTAACTTACTTCTACATTCAAAGGCATGCTTATGCTTTACACTCATGACATTCTCATATTCTCATCCCTTTGGGGGAAGCAGAAGGGGAATTAAAACTTGCATGTTAACGCTCTAATGTTAAAGATCAAAATTCTAATCTGAGCTAAAAATGTTTCTTCTACCAAAGGGGCGTACATGTAACAGAATCTACCCTTGGATCCTGTTCTGCAAGAGAAAACAACTTTCTCAAAACTGAGTCAAAGGATGCTTTCGGACACAGTATTTTAACAAAAGTTATGTTGAAAAAAGTTGATGAAATGCGCTTAAATGAAACAAACTGAAAATCTAGCATTACCCTATAGCCTTATCTTTCATCAGCAATTTAAAGGATACACGAGCAGTGAAGTAAGTGGAACAGGAGAGGACAGCACTACTAATTTACCTAAGCAGCCAATTAATCTCAACAATTTAACAAGAGGTTCTACTTCAATATTAAGCCATCAAAACACAAAGCCCCCCTTATTTCTGTTAAAAACATGTAGGGTTTTTAGACCAACAACAGCTTTTTACTTTTCGTGCAACATTTCTGGACTTCGAGTCACTAAAAACAAATAACCACAAAGTACTGTGACACTACCACTACCTATCCAGAATACCAAATATATTACAAAATAAGACAATGCAAATATTTGCTTAAGTTTTGGCTTCATGCATATCTGCATTTTAAAAAGTAAGCTAAAATCCTACTGTATATTATTACAGTATATCATGTTCCACCTTCTAGAAGTAGTAAGAACATCGTAACAAAGAGCATGAGAAGGTAAACATACCCTTGACAGTATTGCGGTGAAATAAGTTTTGTTATCTTACTACCTAAAGAAGGTGAAAGGCAAATTTTTACAACCTAATTTCACTTCAATTTTATTGAACTGTCTACAGGATTCTGTGAGTGTGTGCACATACACAGGCACGCACAGAAAAAGTGGTATCTACAAACAGTTTACACAAATATTTACATACATACGTTATTTACATCAACTAATATGACTGCATGATTTTCGATGTAAAAACCATACGCTTCTTGCACATATAACTGTTGCATTGGTCTTACAAAAGTAATATAAACCTTTTGCAACAACTAGCTAAGCACATATCATAGCTGATTCCAAGTTTTTAGAGCTTGCAGGTTTTTAAAAAAATACAATACCTAGAACACTGTTATCAAACAAATATGCTTTATTGGCATCTAAAAACAAAATGCACCCAACATTAAAATGTACTTTTTCATTTTTTTAAACCCACTGCAGTACGAGGAACAAATCACAAACACTTACTTTAGAGAAAACAGAGACTATAGTGTAGATTTTACAAAACCACTTTTAATCTCTGTGTTATGCTCCTTAAATAACATGGGCCATTTCTTTTTCTGCCGAATTGTAGGAACATAAAATATCACAGCTTTGTCTATACTTTAAAATTCTGCAGCAGCCTAAAAACACGGACAAGATACACCAGCACCTGTTTTCAAGTATAACAATTTCGATAGCCAACCTAAGGGTAGTATCTAAAAAAATCCATTTTCTTCCATAGGAAGTCTTTGTTTGACAAGCTGTTATTTTATCTTTGTGAAATTAAAAGCAAGTGGGGGGAAGTTTATGCTTTATCAGAGAAATAAAAAAAAAATGTTTACCTACCATGTTCAAATTAAGAACAGTGTTCTATACAAGTCAGTTGTACAGTTATTTAAGTGAAAGATGAACATGAACATCAGATTAACTTAATTCTGGCAGACAAAAGTGAACTGCTACGGTCCAGTCAGCCATTTATCTATTACAGAGAGATGACAACTTTACAAAAGGTATCTTTTACCTACTGAGTGATGATTATGTCCCCTCAGTTTCTGTGCTTTCTACCACTGGTTCACTTTCTATATCAGCTTCTGTGTCACTCTTCTCTTTGTTTATCTCGACGGAAGATGTCAGTTTTTCATAAAGTTCTGGATCGTCCTGCACCTGTGCAGTTGGTGGCTGACTTTCTGTCTCTGTATTTTCACCGTTTACCTGGGGCATATTCTCAGATTTGCGTTGGGAAGTGGCCCCATCAAAATATTCAAAAACCCGTGGATGTGGAGGGGGAATCCAGTTGTTTGACATTCTGTCTCTTCCAAACCTGTTCCCATTAATTTCTCTGCAAAAATTAAAATCTCTGTCATCCCTATCCCTCTGTCTTTCCCAGGGTCTTCGGCGGTCATCAAAATCTCTGTGAGCATCTTGTTCAAATCCTCTATTCCAATTGGGACCACTTCTACTATCAAACCTATAGTTAACATGGCGAAACCGCTCTCTGTCTTCATGGAAGCCTTTAGGGCCACCATAAACAGGGAAGGCATGGTGCTCTCTTTCATCATAATCTCCTCTCTGTCCCCAGTGCTTGTCTGAATTGAAACCAAAATGCTCTCTTCGACCAAGGTTATCTATACCTGGTCTTCCAAAATTTTCTCTCATGTCTACATGTGGTCTTGCAAAATGTTCTCTTCCATCTACTGGAGGCCTTCCTATACCCTCTCTGGGATCAACTGGTGGTCGTCCAACAGAATCTCTGACATCCACTGTAGATGGCCTGTTGAGATTATCTCGGTTTTCCACTGGAGGGAAGCGATAATCTCTGTCTCCTTCCTGCTGAATGTTATCGCCTCCAAGTGGTAGTCTTTTCTCTGGGTTAGAAATGCTATCAATATTTTGTCTTCCTGGTGTTCCAAAAGGTCTTTCTGTTTGATTAAAAATATCTCCTGGAGGAAAAGGACCTCGAGGTGGTGGGTGAAGAGATGGATCAAGGATTGCTGGAGGAGGAATGCTACGCTGTGGTGGCATTCCTGGCTGCATTAATGGAAACCTTGGTCCAGGCGAATGGGGCATAAGGCCTGGACGGATATCTATGAGAGGCATTCCCGGCATCCTTTGACTACTAATATTTAAATGAGGCATGTTTTGAACCCCAGCTGGATGCTGCATTGCCAGAAGTCCAGAACTACTTGAAATATTTGGTGGTGGCACTCCCATAAGTCCAGAACTACTTGAAACATTGGGTGGTGGCATTATAAGCAGCCCAGAGTTGCTTGAGACACTTGGTGGCTGCACTCCTGCCAGAACTCCTGAGCTGCTTGAGACACTGGGTGGCTGCATTCCGGTCAGAAGGCCAGGGCTGCTTGAGACACTAGGTGGATGCACTCCAGCTAGAAGTCCTGAGCTACTTGAGACATTTGGTGGTTGCACTCCAGCCATAAGTCCAGAGCTACTTGAGACGCTGGTTGGCTGAACTCCGCCAGCAAGAGAAGAGCTACTGGAAACAGTAGGTAGCTGCACTCCTCCTGCAAGACCAGAACTGCTTGAAACAATTGGTGGCTGCACTCCTCCTACAAGTCCAGAGCTGCTTGAAATACTGGGTGGCTGTACTCCCCCTGCAAGTCCAGAGCTACTTGAGACACTGGGTGGCTGCCCTTCTCCAGTAAGCCCAGAACTGCTTGAGACGCTGGGTGGCTGCACTCCAAGTCCAGAGCTACTTGAGACATCAGTTTGCACTAAAATGCAGCAACAAGAACAACAGTTAACAGAAAATGCCAGTGTAACACATAACATTCAAAACAAAATGCAGTTTAATCCATATTTAGTTAATGCATTCAGTGATGATACTGCTGACAAGGTCTGTATCAGTTTCTAGAATGAACATACATCCCTTTAATCGCATTAGTGATAAACAGACATTATGCCACAGAAATTAACATCTCTACATAGCAAAGAATGTACAGCAGCTTACAATTGCAAACCCCACAGCCATCACCCAATTTATGCAAGGGAAGTATTAAAATCTTTGATACAATTCTATACATGTTTACTATGCTACCCTCTCCTTCCATTGTTGCTTGTGTAGTAAGAATGCACTTTTAAGGAGTTTTCTAAAGGGATCCCAGTCTCAGCTTTACTTCTTGAGTCTACAAAAAAAACCATCTCTGAGCATAAGCTGCTAGAAATCAATGATCAGATGATGACAAAGATGGTTCCCACGATTCCTCCAACAAACTGAAAATGATACCCAGCCTAAAAGTCCTACTCTGTAGTTACTAGTGCAATGGACTAGGATCTGAAAAAAAACCCTCAGAAGTATACTGTTTCCTGTATGTGATCATATAACACAATGAAGACATTTCGTACCAGATCTATTGTTTTCACTGGAAGAAATCTGAAGGTCTGTAAGATGTGATCCCTTTTCATCTGATTCTGGTTTGTTGATTGGCAGAGGATTAAAAACATTTCCAGCAGATAATGTTGGAGTAACTAGATTGCTAGTAACTGTGCCAACTGGTAGAACAAGGCTAGTAAAAGGAACATCCTTCATTGTCTCTTGTGCAATTGGTAACGGAGGCTGTACTAAAGCTGCAGAGAAACAACAGAAATGTACCAGAGTAATCATATATTCAAGCCTTCAAGATTAGTTTGGCAGAGGTCTGGCTGATAAATCAGAATAAATGAAATTGATTACCCTAAGTGTTACATTTTTTTGGTAGTAATTTCTTATCCTCAATCAGCACCGTAATATTTAATTTTTTTTGCAGAGATCACGAACTTCAGGCAACCTAAGAAATCAGTACTCTTTAACAGATATTTTTTAATATTAAATGAATACACTTAAAAGGCTAAACAAAATATAAATTATTCAGTGACTAACACCATAACATACATCTGTTACAAGTTGGTTAAAATACTAAACTACGCATACAAATAATAAATAATTAATTTGCCGTGATTTTTTTTTTGCAGTAACTCCACGGTAGCTATAATTTTTCAGTCACCTTGAAAAGCTATGCAAATCTTTTTCTCAATATCTGCTTAAATCAGCTGAACAATAACTTTTGTGTTGCTGTTTTCCGTTACACAGAATTAACTTGCTTTTGATTAACAAGTAGTATAACAACTAAGCTTCTCATAACACACAAATAACTATTAGAAGAATCAAACCTACGTGTTGGAACAACTGGTGGGACAACAGGTGGCGGGACAACAGGTGGTGGAACCACAGGTGGAACTGGGGGAGGCATATAACCTATATGGGAAAAAATGACAAATTATTACAAGGGAAGCATATACAGTTTTACAATAAAAGCTTGCTTATTCATCCTGAAAAGCTGCACCACTGAAGACTAGCAGACAACAAATGTATGGGAAAAGGCAGCAGTGGTTATTGTTTTCAAAAACAGCCCCATCTTTACTGTACATAATCCGCTTGTGCATCTTTAGAAGTTATTTCTGGCAACAATATCCAAAGAAGAAAATTAAGAGTTTTAAAATTTTCCAATGCAAGCAGATTATTCTTAAGATCTTTAAATTTTCATTTTTATCAAAGCTCAAATAAAATTCTGCTGTAATTACTATTCTCAGTATTATTTTACCAGTGCATTCTGTCAAGTTAGACATGAGAAATCTCATACTAGATTAAAGTTAAGGATTCAAAGGTCAGCTATCTCAGACAGTAACCGCTAGCTGATGGAAAACCACACAAAGCGTCATGTACATAGCAGCACACAAACTGAGTATACTCGTTACATGCTCAACTTCATTTTTACTAACTTACCTGGAGGTGGCTGTGAAGGGTTGAAACTTGCTCTCAAGAAGGGTGGAGGAGGAATTGCACTATAACCAGGAGGAGGGACAGACATTGTGACAGGAAATGCGGGTGGAACCAAGCTAACAGCAGGCACAGCTGGAGCTACTGGAATCTTTTTTCATGGGAAAAAAAAAACAAGCAACTTCAATACTTAACAGTACTCAGTGACACTAAAAGAGGGATGAACTGATTTGACGGCAATTCATGTTAAGCATTAAATGTACCACAGGCTTAGGATATATTCTGAACCCTCTGAAGAATTAGATTGCATTCTGAAATGGTACCTACACTACAGCTAAACAAGGACACTGGAAGAATACTATGCTATCTTTTCTTTATTCTAAAAAGAACAGAAAAATACACAGTTAAACCCTACATTTATTCAAGAATAAAAGTTTACTTATGGGAAAGAAGTGAATGCAGAAAAAGCGAGAGAGAAAAACAAGGAAAATGTACATAGTGTGGCAATTTGAGAGCACTTAGGAAACACTGATTCTATTCTCATTAGAAAAAATTATGTGTTTTAGAACAATACTGGAAAGTTGAGTTTAGTGTATGTAAAAGACCAATAATCCTGACAAAATCCTGAAAAATTACTTAATATTTCTCAAACCTCTGTTTGAGCTACGTGCTTTGATACAGTGCAACATAATTACAAGTAATTAGTGACAGAATAAAAGCTATATATATGTATAATTAAATATATATGATCACAGCATACACTAGGAGACAGTTGAAATAAGAAGACTGAAGACAGCTTTTGAGAAAAGAAAAAAGCTCAAAATTCAATGCAAGGAAATGCAAATATGTAATTTTATATCAACTCAAGTACTGGAAATGTCTATATATGTTAGGAAAGATAAAATAGTAATATAAATACAAAAAAAATTTGCATTAAGCAACTGCTTCTCATTTTACAATTTATAGGGTCATTATAATAAGGATTTAAAGAGTTTGACAAACAGCTTTGTACTTATACTTTATAAACATGTGTAGTGTAGTATGCTGAAGAAAAAAAGACACTGTATTCTCCTAGCCTTCCACAATACCTTGTTAATGACTGGATGTTTTAGAGGGAGGAAAAAAAAAACCAGCAGAGAATCAAAGACTCTCATGAATTACTGCATAGAGAGTGCAACAGCACACTACTTGAAAAAACATGTCTTTTAGAGATGAGTCTCCTATGAAATCCTGCCCCAAATTACTGAGAAAATAATTAAACATATTCAAAGCTGATATGGGGAAAAGCATGTAGGTAGAGAAGAAACAAGAACAAGTGAAAAAAAGATTATTGATTTCTTAGCTTACAGAAAGATGCTTTGCTCTAAACAAAATACTTTCTGTAAGCTCATCTTAATTTCACCTTAAAAAACTAACATAACTAACATGCTGCTATTTTTAAAATTATTTTTTAGTTGTTTGGTTTTTTCTTTGTTTTGTGGGGTTTTTTTAACAATTGCTTAGCCTTCAACATTTAAGTCTTCATTTGAGTTTGCACACAAGTTTGGGATATGCTGTGCATGAAACTAAAGCTTAACAATGGCAACTGATTCTAGTCTAAAATATTTCAGAAATAAATACACATGCACACAGGAATTAAGTATTTTTGACTGAAATACTTTAACTCAGCATCAAAGGTTATCTGTATTGAAGAAAAAGTTTGTCCTCCAGTTTTTGGGGTTTTTCGCAAACTCGCACCAATACAAACCTGCAGCATAGTGACTGGTTGTGTGTAAGCTTCTGTCTGTGTTGTAATAACTGTACTCTTATCAACTGCAGCACTCTGTGTAGTTTGAGTATTTTCTTTAGTGGCTTCTGAGCTTCTGGCTGTTTCCCATTCTTTAAAAAAAAGGTAATCAGTATGTTATTTTTATTTAAATACTAAAAAGTCCTCTTCCTCCCTAAAAATATATTTTAATCTGGTATATAGATACATTACAAATAGCAGTCAAACAAAGTCAAAAAGCAAGTGCAATTATTCATTATATATTTTGAAGAATGCAAAATAACTTTAATCACCTGTTTAATTATGCCTGTTTAAAATCTGATTTTTCAGAACTTACCAAGTTTTTTTCACCAATCATTCTGTTAATATTTTGTAATACAGAGTATGCTCTAGTTTTCTGAAAACTAGTGTTGTCAACACACCTGTGTTATCAGCTGGCTACTGTACAATGACAAAGAATCCTCATGTTAAAGAAACCTCACTTCAACCCCCATTTCTTCCTTCTGCCACTTCCTCAAAAAGTTTTGTATTTCAAGTATAACATAATGAATGTATTTCAATAATGTTCCATGTTTAAATTATTGTGCCTTTTATATTCAATTTTTACTCAAAGCAAGACTACATTTTGAACTGAAAAATCTTTGTTGCTATTATAAAACAGTCTTAATCTACTGATTACTTCAGTATACTCCAGTCATTTGGTGCTAGATCCATTTCAAGAAAACATAGTACTTGTCAGTCTTTTACAAACCTAACAAACCTCCCAATTAACCAACCTCTGGGTTTCAGAGTAAGGTCTAATATTACTCGCTTTCCTACTCATCTTTATGGAGAAAAAAACCTTACGGAGAAGCTAAGATGTGTCTATTTGGACAAGTTCCAACTTAAGTCTTAAACATGATTATAAGACTTTTCACAATCACAAGCAGATCATAATTTATATGCAAATTAATATTTTACATACTTAGAAATGAATACACAGCAAATTCATAACTCTTAAAAAAATGCTAACCTTTATTCACTTGCTTAAATTAATTCCCTTTTGTCACTAATTCCTCATTATCATGACAACCAACTACTCATCTACAAAGACAGTCTAGATTTCATTATTACAGTGCCATATATATTGTAAGCAAGTAGCTAGTAAAATTTATGTAAATTGAAAAAGAGTATGTTTTACCTAAAACAATGAACTTTCTGAGGATTTGCAGTTATCAAAATAAACACATTTTCTAACTAGCAGAATCACTATTAATGCCTGTACCTGTATTTACTGTTTCCTGGTCAATCATGCCACCTTCAGCAAAGCCCTCCAAATCATCCAATTTTACTTTCTCCCAAGGAATATACGAAACTCCCAGATCCACATCCCAGAACTGCTTATATTCTGTTTTGACACCTTTATTCAAAGCCCAGGCAATCTGAAAATAAAACCCAACCAGATAATCTGGTTAAATTATATAACCTGTAAACAGAATTTCAGATAATTTCCTTCATTTTTCTGTCCCTGCAAATCAATCTCCAGTGTCTATTTATTAAAACTTTAATAAGTTCTTGATTTTAAATGAACTTGTACGAAGTTTACTTGGCCTTTGCAACAGGTATGTGGAAGATTAACTACACCAAAAAGCTTAAAATCTTTTCCAAGTTAATGCTAACAAATATACAGGGAAATCAGTACTTCAAGGACTGATTCTAAATCATTAAAGAAGGTAGAAAAAAACCCCCACAGCATTTATCCTATATTTAGGTCTATAAGAATACTATCAAATTTAATATTTAAGTGATCCACATGGTCACGTACAGGACTTAAGTTGTTTACAGTCTTGTACTCTTACCACTAGCACATACAAGTATCAAGTAATAATTTCATTTTACTCTCTTTGTGATGCAAATCCTGTTAAAAGCGGCACTTCATACACAGAGGAAAGAAAACAATTTACACATTATTGCTTCATTCTTCTCCATCCTGTACATTGGAATGAACAGCTCCTAAACAACAAATCATATTAAAAACTGTACTGCATGTGAAATGGACAGCATCTTTAGATTAAAATCAACTTACCTTAATAATTTTAGATCCTATTTTATAGGACCCAGAACTAAGTTTCTGAAGAGCACGATAAGCATCTTGTCTATGAACCATACAAACATAAGCACAACCTCTTGGGGGAATCATCTATGGAAAAAAAGCAATGGTCTTAAAGTAGGAAAACCAGCATTTCAGATTACAGAACTACACTAAGTGAATACTAATAGAAAGGCTTACACTGTAAACAACTGTAACCTTAATCAATACTAGTAACAATTTAGAGCATCAGCAAAACAAGAGTGATATTGGCAGGGTACTTCAGTTACTTTCAAGAAGCAGCAGCAAGCTGAAGAATGGGTGCTAAAAATTACATGAAATATTTGAACACCACAAAGCAGACAAGAACTGGGAGCTATACTATAACAACTGCATAAAAGCAGCACTCCAAATTCACTGCAAGCTGAGCAACAACCTTTCACAGAGGCACAAACTAGTGATTAGAAGTATCTAGCATTTTTAAAAGGTAGAGCCCTCAATCCTGAAGTGTGATTTCCACTAGCTTTAATGTTTTATTTAGGAAAGAAAAGTATGATGTGGCATGTGATCTTTCAAAGTTTGCAAATCATGCATGACAACTGCTTATTTTAGTTTTAGTCAAAAATATTGGTGTGCTTTTATGTTGTGTAGGAGCACACAGTAATATAAAACCAAAAATATTTAAGATGACAGATTTTAACGCAGTCCTTATAAAAATATTTTTAAGATATACAACTATGTTATCCTAGGTACTTAAAGATTCATGGAATGAACAGCATGAACTATTTACAATATGGTTTGCCTCTGAAATGTAAGAGACACTGGGACATTATGGCTGTTACATTCATTTCCTTCGAACTTTCTTAATTGCTAGTCCCTGCAAATTAAAATGAGGTTTAAATGTCAGACTATGGGTTTTTTTCACTTCTGAAGCTTTTTTAAAGACTCTGTAATGCCACAGAAACTAGTAGTAGCTGAATATATTAACATGATAGGAAAAATAGTAAAAATATTATCCAAAGTGAATTAAATGGCATGAGAAGCACTTTAAAACTGCTGGAGCAAGAGACAAATATCAAAATTTCTTTCGTGTAAATGTGTTGTTTTAGGAGAAAAATACTTTCTCTTGAAGCTGAATTATAGGCAACACTGAAGTACGACTCGGCATCTAAATCTAAATTGCTCTAAATCATGAGAAATAGATCCAATTGTAAGAGTCTTTTTAATTGTCATTTTTTAGACTAAACACTTGTTTACAGTAAAAAATTTCTTTTTTTCTAAATGTTTTACCCACATTGATTCCATTTAAGGAACCCTCTGTATGGAACATAACCAAGAACAAGTGTGGATATAGATCAGTTTGTGTCCACTAGTCCAAGGAAAAATTATACCCACCCCATGCTACATCACAAAAAGAGAAAAGACATGACTTCTTGTTTATTAAGACCCTGCTTTAAAAAACGGTGTAAACTGTTAGTGCTCGGGAAAAGCCATTTTACCATGAAGTGCACTGTCTTTAGTGCTTCAAAAGACAGTCCATGGAAACCAACAAGCAACTATCACAGCCACTTTTTTTAACAGTGATAAAACGTCTCCTAAATACTAGTGTAAGCTGCTAAAAGGAATTCAGAAGCATAAGCACGTTTAAATTGCTAGGCTGTAAACCCTGGAAATGCATGGCAACATGCTTACTTACATTAATTGACTCTATTTGTCCAAATTCTTCAAACAAGTTAGTCAAATCTTGCTGTGTAGCCTTCTTGTCTACTTGACCTACCCAAAGAGTAGTACTGCAAACTGTCAAGAGACACATTCACGTCAATCAAAACACTAGAATGTTAGTTTATAAAATACTCTATAGCACTGATATAAAAGGCTTTAGAATTACAGAGACCACTCATCAAAAAAGCAAGAATAGTAGATCTATTACTTACTATATAAAGTACATTAACAAAAATGTTAAAGACACCAAATAGATATTCAGCACAGGTGTTCATTTTTCCTCTTTCATTTTCTTTTAAACAAAACAGTTGTTTTAAAAGAAATGAAAAATAAAATTCTGAAATGATTAGCTAAGGAACTGCAGTAGAAATTACTTCAGAAAAAAAAATCATTTCTATTCCATGTTCCATAAAAAATATTCCTCTAGGATTCAGAGTCAGTTTTAATGAAGTAAGACTAACTGGCTTAAAGTGTATTACAGAAGTAACGTAACTGCAGTATTATGCACTGTGTTTTCTCCTGAAAGAAATGGAAACCGTACTTTTACTTTACCTTGGGGAACCATGCCAGAAAAACAGACCTGCCTGAGGCCTACCACTGAGCTGAAGATGTTCATGATACTTCTGACTCTTGTCAATGCTACCACAAGCCCAGATTCCTGCAATTTGTCTCCCAAATGCCTACCCCCATTCCCCGCACCAAATACAAATACTTAGTGACATGAGCTAAAACTTCCTTCTCCCATATGTACATGGTTCCAATTATTTTGTCTCCCAAATATTACCCAATCTATGTGTGCAAGCCTTGACAAACTCAGCAGTTATTTCAACTTAACACAGGGTGATCAGAATCAGATTAGGCCAATACTGGTGGTTCTTCTCAAATATCTTACTCCCCCAGTTATCCACTCAGGTTCTTAAATGACTTAAGGCAGAACAAAACCAGATAACCTGGATCTCTTAGGCCTGCCTTATCCTAAACCAAGGAAATATTCTTTCTTCATCATCATCTTGATACATCACACATCCTTCCTATACCAATCTTGGTGCACCAAACTGGATACCAGTGTTGTGCATTCCTCTGTCAACTGACATTTTCAGTTGACAGCAGTACTGAGAATGACTAGTCTCTTGGACAAAACTTGTTCCTCACATGCATGTAGATGACTTTTTTGTTTCTCATGGTGCTAAGCTTTATGAAACAACTCTTCAGACCTCAGTAAATGCTAACAGTGGCTGTCACTGAAAAAATTTCATGAGTAAAATGCTTGTCTGATGAATTATTTATTTATTTACCCAACACCTAGCCTTTTTAGTATTTCCTTTCCATGAGCCAGGTGACTTCACAGGACCTCAATTGCTGCTGTTGTTCATCAGGTTACTTAAAATCCCTGCCTCCCAGTACCCATCCATTCTGATTATAGCTCCCTGCTTTGTGGACTACGGGGAGAAATCTACAGCATAAAACTGGTTTGCCTCTTTTCATGTGAAAAGCCAGAGAAGAAAAAAAATATACATCTAAACTGTAGTACAGTTCTGAGTTTAAAGCCACCTTGGAATGATGTAAAATATTAATGTGAACAGAACACTCTTTCCTTTACAAAAATGAATTTTGAACTGCTTAACTTGTTACATAAATGATATAGTTTAAAAACACAAAACAAATGCAAAACTACATCAGAAACTGTGTATAGACTATCTAAACAAAGTTAAATTCGGGAACACAAGTTTATTACAAAAATAAATTAAGTACAATTATGCATCCCAAGAATCCAGAGTCCTGATAACAGCAGCAATGGGATATGCCACAGTAGCAGATTACTTATACCTAATTTCCCTGTTTCTAGCACCCATCTCAAAATACATTCCCTTTGATTTAAGCAACTGTGTGGAGAAAGTTCTTCTCCCTGCTACCTTCCTTCCTTCTTTTTAGTATGTGAATTTAGTATGTAAATGATAGCAGTGCAGAGCAGCACACTGCTGAAGCTGAAATCCAGTTGGGTTTTGGATACTTTCTTAAGATACAAACATTATGGTCTATTTTATGATAGCAAATTACTTGTTTCACACTTCCACCTGCCTTGGCTCTATATTCCTGTGAAAAGCTAGTTAAAAAGCACTCTAAAAGTTTAACAAAATTGGTCTCTAATTAAAATACTCAGCAAAGTGTCAATAGCATATCATACTTAAATGTCGTATCAGCACTCCAGTTTTCAGATTGAGCACTGACCATCTTCAAATGCCCCATAGAAGACAGAGTTAAAGAGAAAGTAGATTTTAACTTAGGGACAGACCTTGCCACCTGTTTGAAAGTAAAATCACTGATGTAACAGTATGAGTAACATCATCTGTAGAATAGTATGATACTTGCTTTCCTCTAAAATGAAATGATGTACCTGTCTAAGTTGTTAAGAAACACAGGAATACAAACTTAAGAAAACTGTTACAGTTACTGTATTTTGCGAGAGTGCTCAAGCTAAATCTTGTTCCTTCAATGGAAAACAAAGCCTTTTTTCCCTTTAATACTGCATTATTAAAACAGTAAGCAGCTGCCACTTACCACTTAGTGTTTTTGACCGTATAGGAGGCAATCCCTTTTTCTGACGTTCTTTTTCCCTTTCTCTAGCTCTTCTTTCACTGGAATATGATCGAGATGACTTTCTCTTCCTTTCTCTTGATCTTGAGCGTGAACGTTTTCTATGTTTACGTTTACGAGACCCAGACCGTGATCTAGACCTTCGTTTTCTTGGTGACCTACAAAACACTTAATTTCAGTATGCTGAGTTAAAAAAATTAAATTCTAATTTTGTTGTCTTTTAACTACAAACTTTAAGCAGGATACAGACATTTCTGTTATATTCACTTAAACTGTTTCAGGAAATAAACTTAATGCCATTAGTGTGAGGAACAAAAAATACACCTTGAGCTTGAAACAAAACACATTCGAAGAGTTCCATAACATATCTGTTTTTCTGACACAGAAAACATGACCAACTGCTAGTGTTAGTTATGTTTGTTACCTGAAGAGGTCTTAAAAAAAAATTAAAGTAGACTACAAATATGCAAAATGAACTGTCATACAGAAAGTCTGCATCTAACACACAGTATTAATTTTTTTTTTTTTTTTCCATTACTAAAAACTGCTCATGTCAATTTTGGAAAATACAGAATTTAATCACAAACTTCAACTTTGTTTCAGAAAACCTTCATTTACTTAATACAAGTTAATTATAAAACCTTGAACGAGATCTTGAGCGAGTTCTTGATCTTGAACGAACAGTTGATTTCTTTTCCTCTTGTTCAAAAATCTCCTCTTCAGCAACATCCTGTCCTTCATCTATATCCATGTCCTGAGATCAGACATAAAAGATGTTGAATAACATTTGATAAATATACTCACAATACATATATTAAAGCATACATCCATATTACTCATTTTGGAATCATCTTAGTATGTGTTTTCCTTTCAATTTCTGTAATCAAATTTAAAATAGATTCTACCTGTTGTTGAATATCCATTGAATCATCTACATTCGTTTCCACTTCTAAAAACTGCTGCTGACTACTCCCTTGTGATGGTGAGGCAGAGTGCTCTGAACCAAAATTTCCTTCTTGATTCTCCTCAGGACTTGCCTAAATAAAAAATAGTAATGTATCATTAAAGGTCTCATAATTCAATATGCTTACTGTAATTCAAAACGTTAATACTATATGAAACAACTGTTCAAATATCTCTGAAAAACTATTTATCAAGTTTCTCTTATTTTCACACTTCTCATTAATGTGAAAGCTGAACTAGATGTCACTCCATTCCATACCTATTTTTGTATCCTTCTTAAATACAAAACTTTGAAATAATTAATATTCCTGACTATAAAAAAAATACTATTTGCTGAATCAAAAAAACAAAGTACACTATTTGTTGCTTAATTTGGCTGGCTTGAAAACAAAAGCTCACAAAACAACAGTGATGGCAGTCATATGTACACTGAAAGATACCCACTGGTCACCCATGCACATCCATTAATAAATTATATCTTGTTATTAACATAATGGAAATATTTGTAGTATCAGTTAAACTGGCTTAAAAAATTACATTTAACTCCAAACTTTCTTACAGTGCATAATTTAAGACAAGTAATTGCTACAAAATAAGGGAGGGTGTTGAGTCATTTATGGCAGTACGTCAATTACAACACCTACTAAAATTAAGAAATGTAAAATACTAAATGTATTGTTGATTTGCGAGAGAAAAAACTATAATGACCTAAACAAGGGATTGAAAGTACAGATTTGGAATAAATATCTTTAAGATATGGAAGAAATTCAAGAAATAACAGTAAATACAATGAAAATACTCAGAAATGCTATCAGTACAATTTTGAAGAGTAATTTTAAACCTATAATCCAATATTGCAGGTAAACATTTCAGTGATTTTCAATACATTTCACTTTAATTAAACAAATGCTAGATATTCTGTGAGGAGCATGGTAGAAAGTTAGCAGAATGACATGCAGTACCAAGGTTTTTTTGCTTCATATTCTTATAGCTTATAATGACAATTTCCAGAAAAATAAAAAATTATACCATAATTCAGTCAATGCATTTTCCTTCTAACATTATCTGTTTCATCTCATTTTCTTTTTAGTTAATTATTCTTCAACAATCTGTTTATTGATATCAATCCCTACATTTCTTGCTGCCCCTTCTGTTTCCTCTCCTCTCCTCTCCTCTCCTCTTTCTCACTGATGCTTAAACATGAAGTTAAAGAAAATCCTTCTAGCACAGTGCAGTCACTACATTGTAGTTCCAGCAGAAATCTGTGTCTCTTAGATGCTATGAAGGTGAAAATAAAACTTTTTTTCTCCATATTGACAAGACAGGAAGCTGAACTGACCTGAAGGGAAACAACTTCTGGACTTGGAATAGAATATCAAATAATAAAGGGTGTATAAATGTACTGTAACTTAATTTCATGTGAAATTAATTTAAACTGTAACTCTGCTTATTTTACAGTAACCTTGGCATTCAGCATTTTTGTCTTCAAATTAGTTACTTTTAAATACATGACATCAGAAACTCCTAAAACAGATGCACTCTTCAAAGCTCTATTCCTTTACAACATTTTTTTAATATTTAAAGCCAGAAATTGCTAGATATCCACCAACATCAAAAACTATTTAGTCTGTGGCTACGTTGTACAAACTTTTTCAGTTGCTGCACTTAAATGAGAAATGAAAATAAAACATAGTAAAATAAAGCAGTAGAACAAGAAAACACTATCTAATAAAAAAATCAAATTACTCTTCTAAAACAATTAAAAACTATTATAAAAAAACAATTTTAAAAAGTCACAAATTCAAAACTCAAATGGCATTCTTGACTGAAAGCTGCACCTTTGCACAGGTTAAACTAAAATCCCCAACAGATGTTTGTTACGTTTGTGGACCCTTAGATTTTCTTTCAACCTAGGACTTCTGTTTTACTGTAAAACTAGATCCAAATACTTCACAGAAAATCCATTTTATATCTGGTCGGTATCAAGACAGAACAAACATGTTTTTTTCTAATGGGATCAGGAATCGGGATGAGGAGGGGAAAAGAGCTGCTAAATAACGAGGACTAATTTCAGGAGAAATAAATCAATTTACTTCAATGCAGAGAGAACCCTTCACATAGTAAAGAAGGAATCTTGGGTTGTCTTGAGCATCGGTTCTTAATCATTTCTCAGGAAATACATGACTATTCCTCAGCTCAGATTCCTCAACAGAATGAGACATTTATTAGACAAGAATTAAAGCTTGGGAGGGTAAATTAAAGTTATCTGCAATCTCTATTCTGTCCTCTTGATGGTTCTGCAGCAGCAGACGAGCACAATCACTTCAGTGCTCACCACCTTTCTGACAGCAGGGAGAAAGCTTTTTTCCCCCCATATAAAGAGCTGAACAACCAAAACACAGTCAGCCTGCAACTCAGCTAAAGAGTACTCTTTCCCAAGATAAGTAAAATGTACAACCCACACAACTGGGGTTTTTTTCCGCTTTAAGAACTTTCTTTGGCTTATTCCACTTACTCTGAAAGCTTCTGTTAGAAGATTTCATTCTAAGAGCAGTGTCAGTAACAAGACACTTTTTTTTGTCCTGGAGTATGATTTTTTTTTTTATAAGTGGAGAACATAATTCTTATGACAACCACAAGATGGAGTTCTTACCTTTTGAGGCTGCTGTTGCTCCAGAAGCTGTTGTCTGAGATGTTCTAAATTTTGTTGCTGTAGCTGTTCAGCTAGTTGGTGAAAAAGTGAGTTGTTCACAGATTCTGATACTAAAGGCCTAAAATGAAATAATTTAATTAAAAAAAAAAAAAAACAAAAACACAGCAGTTTTTGCCTTGGTTTAAACAATTGGTAAACGTCTTCACAAGCAAGTTTCAAGTTTAAGTAAAATTGTAAAATAATGAAGATAATGTAGCTGGAGCCACCTTCTGTTATCATTATTATCACATTAACACAATGAATATAACTAACAAAGTGAATAATATTCTAATTTTAAGATGAAGTCAACAAAACTTCTGACACACAGACAAGTATTTTTAAATGTGCATGTTTCATTACTTTAGTAAACTGTCTTTTCCTACTGCATTAGTATACTTATGCTCTGAAAGCAACATTTTCCTTATATTTAATCCTAGTGCTTAACTAGCATCAGGCAAATTTTAGCATTTTCCGTAAGAAACATCGCTTGATCTTACAGTTGGGATGTGGGAGTTTCCTTTTTAGGCTCTTCATTTTGTTCAGATTCTTCCCCAAAGTCAAACCTGTCCATCAGCTTCTAGGAGAAAGCAAAATAAGCATTACTGAGTACTCCTTATATGTCCCTTTATGTATATTTACTTTTCAAAAGAAAAATGCACTTACTGCTCAACTTTAAAAAACTTTGGCAAATAACCTGAATAGAAAATTAAATGTCGTACTGCTATTGCTACCAAACTCCTGAATGCATCAAATACCAAATTTTGCCAATGCCTTTCTTGAGCTCTGGCTGCTGTTACAACTATAACTACATGTTCTTTCCATAGTAAATAATGGCTAGTTTGTAGGAAGGCTTAAATAAAGATTAACTTTATGTAATGGTACCTTTGATTAGAAGAAATTACTACGAAGAGGCCAACTATTCAATCCTTTGACATCAGCAAACTGCTCTGCCCATATCAAGAGAAGACCTACAGCTTGATTACTTCGCAAAGAATTACTGTATTTTCACACACACGTGTCATTTAGACAACCTGAATTCCTTCAAATATACTGCTCCTTGAAAACAACTTCTCACACAGTCTGCAAAAAAAATCAAAGCAAGCAATTATCATGTAGGAGGAATAAGCCTCTAGAGGGATAAAAAGAAAAGTATTGGACAAGGAAAAAGAAAAACTTGGATAAACTTCCTGTATTATCTGCAAAGATATGTATGCTGTAGTTCTGCTGAACAAAAAAGTTTGTTTATTCATTTAAAATAGCCTAGAAGCATTTCAGTAGCATTTTACTTTCTTGAACACAAAACTAAAGAGCAATCCTTATCTGTCACTGACATAGATTCTCTTTTTTTCAGTAAGTATGCATTGACAGAGCAATGCTATGAAAGCCATGCCCCTGCATATTTACACCTTGGAAGTTTTCTGAAAAGCAGAGTTAATGCTGTACTACAAGCCACCATGACTTCTTCTCAAATCCTGGTCAAAACCAGAAGAAAAAAAATCAAGAGGATGACAACACAGGGTAGTCATTTTGAAATACCAAGGCAAAAATGTCTCCAGTAACAAGCCATGACGATTCAGAAGCCCATTTTGCTTTCTCAGGATGCTCTGTTTACTCTCAATTACAGGAGTCCAGCAAGAAGAACAAAGCATAAGCTAAGAGACTGATCAATCAAGAATTTTTAGAACTCTTCTCCCAATGAAATAAATTAATATATATGAAAGCAGAACTGAATATATCAGAGAAAACACAGCAGAAACACAGACCATCAAACTAATGTGAGATGAGATGCTAAAACCCAGAATAACTTTCACCATATACATTTAAACCATTTAAAACAAGGTGGTCGCCTTTTAAATTTTTTTTCTTATTGTTAGAATATTTTCAAGTAAAATATTTGCAAAATGCTGCTGCTCTGAAGAAATATGCGTTTTTAGAAAAACAACCAGTCTCATCTTTAAAATATTATTAATCGTCATGTATCTTCCATCATGACAAAGTAGAATGGAAGATAACAGAATATGTACTGTTTAATATGAGAAAAGGAATAACTGGAAAGTAGTCAACAATTTATGATACACAAAAAAATTTCACTAAACTGGGGCCAGAGAAAACTAAAGAATTTCCAGCCAAGACATGCAAATATGTAACATGATTTTGGTTTAAATTTGTTTTAAATAACATAGTAGATATTAAAGGGAAAAACCTGAACTGAAATATCTTGATTTTTAGATAAATTGTAACAAAATACTCTCCACAATAAAGCAACAGAAATTGAAACAAATTAAATATTAGGATACCTAGAGTTAACTGACCACAAGCGTGCATGTAAAAATATATAATTTCCCATATATGCTACACTTATTACTTTAATTACCTAAGAGAGTATGTTCAGAAAAAGCAATGGGAATGATTAAAGACATGAAAAAAGTGTTTTATTCTAAAGGAAACAAAATTATTCTTAAGGATCGGGATATTCTCTTTAGAAATTAAAAAGAACATACATTTATAGGAAATGTCGATCAAAAATCTTTCTTTAGCATAACACAAGGATACAGTCATGTATCAAGATTACAAGACACACATTTGATGTGACAAAAGAAAGGAATTTTTCATGTAATGCATATTAATTTGGGCAACCAATTACCACAAGATACTATGGAGACAGAAGAGCTTGAAAACAAAGGATTGGAAGAACTGCCAGATTTATTAAAAATAGGGATTTTTGAAAAAGATGAATACTTAGGTATTCATCAGAAATATTTTCCTGCATTATTTGTATTTGTTATCCAAATCGCCATCATTGTATCATGGAATGAGAACTAAGCTTTACAGTTTTCTTTGGATCATGATGCTTACTGTTTGTCATAAAAGTTGCCCTTTTTTATGTCTGCTAACTCAGAACACTTGCCTTTTGGACACTGTCTTCAACCACTTAAGTATTTCTATATCCACATCACAGCTGCATCGTCTGTTCTCTAAACTTCATCACAAGTCTGTTCAGTATCTTCTACAGAAACTACTCAATATTTCTAATTATTACTTTCAGGAATTGCCAGATTCTCTCATTTTACTGCTGAAGCTTAAGATGTTCAGGATTGGTCACTGTACCTCAGGTAAGAATATTTCATCAATTTCTACTAGATAACAGTATCTCTTCTGCCCCATTCTTCATAAATCTAAGGATCACAGGACAGTCCAGGTTGAAAGGGACCTCAGCAGGTCTCAGTCCAACTTTCTGAGCTCAGATCAGGTCACTCGGGGCTTTATTCAGTTGAGTCTTAGAAACGTCTTCATTTCCCACAACTGAGACTGCACAATCTTTCCAAGCAACATATTACAGTGCTTGACTATCCTCATGGGAAAAAAGTTTTCCTTATAGCCACTCTGAACTCTTTAATTTCCATTTCTGTCTGCTGTTTATAGTCCTGCCGTTATGTCGGGCTGTGCAGAGCCTGGTTTCACTTCTTGCCAACCTTCTCATAGGTGCCAGGAGGGGCTGCTGTTAGGTGTCCCCCAAAGCTGCCTCTGCCCCAGGCTGAACCAGCTCCAGTCCCTCAGAGGGTGAGTACCCCAGCCCTGACATAAACTCCCTCTGGTTTGTCAATGTCTTTTCTGTACAGAGGCAGGGGCAGCAAAACTGAATGTGATACTCTAGATGCAGTCTAGAATAGATGGGACAACCACTTCCATCAGCCACCTGGCTATACTCCTGTTCACACAGCCCAAGATGTTGTTGGCCCCTTTTGCTGCTAGTCAGGGCACTCTCCTGGTTCATGCTCTGTCGTTCTAAGTATACTTAATAACAATTTATTTTCATATAAAGACCAGAACCCCAGAGATTAAGCACCTGTATGTCTGGTACTCAAAGGCTGTTAATAGCTGCTCACTGTACTGTTCCGACACCTTGGGTTTTGATACTTGTATCTTTAATAGTATTGTTACCTGAAATTGATGCATTTTGTGTTAAAGACAGAACTACTGCAAGGTCTCTAAAATACATAATAAAACTCTAGAACTTCAGAGCATCCTAGAAGATCACTACAAAAAACGAGATTTGTTATCAGAAACAAAGCATATCCCATAATTTTCCTCTTAAAAATCTGGTTTATAATTTTTATTTTATTTGGGCATGCTATATGAATTTTGTTACTAGCTACTCTGAAGCACCTCCGGGCTTGCCCTGCGAACTCAGCGTTCATTAGCAGTTGTAGCATCTCTTTTACTTTAGCTAAATCCAAATGAATCTACTTAATGCACTCAAGATTGCTCTGCAATGTGAAACAATGTGTGGTACATGTAAACATTTAAAGGATACACCTTAAATCAGCATGCTCCTGATTCAAACAAAAACATTGGGTTTAGTTTGATGCTTCCTATAAAAATAAATTGCCTTTTAAAGACTTTTTTTAAGGCTAATATGTTTAGTAAAAAAATTATAGAATTATTTATATAATAAAATGGAAATAAAGAGTCTGATAAATAGAACAGTATCATGATTCATGGTCTTCAGCTATTGAGAACTGGGAATTGGGTTGCAGGTGATATTGGTGCTGAGAAACGAGCAAAAAAAATGGAAGAAAAATTATTATCCCCAAAACTTATCATTGCAAAAATAGGATTGCCCAGTACTTACATACATATTAATATGTACTTTTCTATAATACCTAGATTCAGAAATCCTCAAACTTCATAAAAAGGAGAAAATAGGTATGGTAGCACCAATGTTACATTTAAAAAAATATTCTAAAAAGGCATGCTATTTCTGCAAAGCAGCCTAAATAAACTTTGAGTAAAAGCCTCAATGGGTTAACAAGACATACATTATCAGTTCATTCACAGAGAGCTACAGAACACTGAAGAAGGAATCTGAGATGCATTGTAATCTAACACTACTTGTATAATGCAGAGCTGAGGTTCTGATAGATCACATACTACAAACAAAACTTTTCCACAGTTTACAAGGACAAATCTACACAACTAAAAGCTTGTAAATTAGCACATTGCCACAAGAAGTCCTTCTGTAACACTTACCCCTTCAAGGTCCCAGAAATCACAATCATATACATTCACTCTGCTGTCAACTTTCATAACAAGACTCATTGTTAAATACTATTACTGGCATAAACTAACTAAAGAGCATCTGGATGAACTCACTCAAGGTATAGAAGCGTCTCATCAGAATGACAGTTCCCTCAATTTGCTCCAGGTAAGTTGTCCAACATTTAAGACAGTCACTCCTATAAGTACACCTATCCACATAAATGCTGGAATTGATGTGGAATGAAACCACAATACAACATCACATCCTTAATTACTTTTTGTATCTAAATAATAAGGCAATCCCTATTAACTGTATTAACTGATGCATTCATTCACTGGGATTATACCCTACTGGAGCTGATGGTTAAAGCTGATACACGAGTACAGGCCATTTTTTCCTGACTTATTTTTACAGCTGCATTACTTCATTAGTAAAGACAATTCTCTATTATTCCAGAGATATGAGTTTAGCTAGGCAAATTCTAGAAAAATAAGATAAATTGTCCTAATTTAAACTCAGCACTTGTCAAATTCTGAGCAGCTGACTGCCTGAAAAACAAGATTATCTGGGTTAGGAAAAAAACAAAAAAGCTTTTTTGCTTTTCTGACTTCCTTATTCTTACTATTTATTCACTCCAGGAAAATCCTATAGAGGTTATCTACTCACAAGCTGTTTCTTCCAAAGACAAGATTTATTAATTTTTTAATTCTCCCTTTTTTATTCTACCAACATTATACTACTACTACTGTAATTGCCAACATGGTTATTGCTACCTGGCATTCAACTATGTTAGTCTTCTTAAATTCCTGAATTCTGATTTTGTTGTTGGGTTTTTTTTAGACAGACACATATACTGCAACACACATGAAGTTTCTTTGCCTACAGGATTTGTATTTTATATTTTGACATCCTTTAAGAAGTGTCATGTGACTAGTTTTAACTACAGTCATAAACTTATTTCTTCACTTACTATCACTTTGTGGCTAAGATTAGAAGTTTTCTTGGCATTTATAATGCAAGAAAACAAGAAGTTGAACGCCATTTTACTCTTTATACTATATTCACGTATTTTAAAAATCTCTAAAGTCAAACCGTAAAATCTGAAAGATGACTCCAATATATTTTAAAAGTATTTCTTAAAATTTCTATTATTCTACTTCTACCTTATTAAAAGAGACACTTTGTTCCAGTGGATTAAGTGTGTTAGCAGCAGCAGCTGCAGCTGTAAGTTGTGCTGTGAGGGCCTGTAGCTGAACGACAAGACCAGCATCCAGAGCTTGAAGTAGTGAAGGCTGAGGTTTCTGCTGTTGTATCTGCAGTGTCTGTATCAACTGCTGAAGCTAAAAGAGAAAAGGTAACAAATGCATTAAACAAGAACATATTTTTAAAGAGCAGAAAAACCAAAAAATAAACTAGATTTTTTCCCTTCCAGTTAGGAAAAAGAAACCTCAGGAATGCAGTGTCATCTAACCTATGGCTATTATTTCATCTTAATTTTTTTTCATTTATGGCAAATTTTGCTCCCACTTACTGGCTAATTTGTTTTCTGTGGCTGATAAGACATGCAGATGTTTCTTCCTCCTAACTTGCTCTGACAGGTTGTCATGATGACCAGTCACCACTCAGGATTTCCTGCTTTCTAACGTTTCCCTCTCTTCTGTTTCTCCAGTTTGATTCCTCCTCACCTGAAAAAAATCTGTTAGCCTCCTCCACCTTCCTAAAGGCCCACCTATATTAGGAAAATCTGTATGTTGTAACATTTGTGTAGAGAGTATAACTGCACTGTTGCAAGCTCCACTTTAAGATGATGGCAACATGTCAATATGAAGAGCCTGCACTAGTGTCTCTGTGTTAGTCACAAGGAAAAACCTCATGCTGAAACTCAGGTTTGCACTGACAGAATGCAACTCCTTTGCTATGTTAACAAAACATAAAAAGCAAATTAACCAAGAACTGGGAATATAATTTGACTTCCTGCAATAGCACAGACTCTGGGTTCTGTATAACACTATCTTAGGATAAAAATTGCTTAGATGTAACATTGAACCAGAAGCAGCAGCTCTGGGGCAACAGACGTACAGTAACAACAAAGTATGTTACAGTAAAAACAAAGTATGGGTAATGCCAAAAGACAGATGTTGAAAAAATATTTTGGAAAAATAGCATTGAGTGTTTCAAATACTATTTAAAAATCGTTATGGGGTTGTTTCAATTAAACAACTCCGGTCTGCAACCCAGGAGATGTCTCAATTCATACTGGAAGGAGTACTAAGTATTATCAGAGAAGGAACTTTCAAAAGTGTAGTGAATAGGCCTAAGAAATTTCAGAATGTATTAGGATACCCTAAGAGTCTCTTCCTTTAAATTTAGAGTAGAAAAACAGATCACCTTCCATCGTTTTTTTAGAACAAATATATAGTCCAATCGCTTGGTGTATCTTGTTTTCCTTACTACAACTTCCTATTTGTATATAATTTTTTTTAAAGGAGCTTTTCCAATGAGGAAATGAAAGTATTTTTCATGTGCAGATCTATCCATCTGTTGAAGAGAGATGGCCTCATAAAATTATACAGATTTACCTTAACAAAAAAGGACAAGATACTATTGCTATGGAGAGGAGCCCTCCTGAAATACCATGGAGTCAAGAGGAAACAGTCCTTTGACCTTCCATAAGGTAAACCCCTAGAGCATCATCTTTGGGTATTTCTAGGAAAAAAATTGAGCAAATCCAGGTAGTTCAAACTATTCTGACAGAAGATTCTGATTATCTTTACAATCATATTCCATCTCCTCATGGGGTTCACCACTGAATTGTTATAGGGTGCAATTCCTCCCTTATCCCTAGAGCTCACTATAAACTCTACATAAGCTGATTAGATTGATCTTCTTTTCCACAATACATCAAAAATGTACGACCCGTTTTAGAGTTATCTTCTTACTCTTCCTATTCTTTAAAAAACAGTTATACAGACTCCTTATACAACAGAGCCTCTGAAAATGCTTCAATTATTGCTGTACCTCACCAAGAGCTTTCACTGACTACTGCAATAGGCAAAACTGAAGAGCTCCCCCCTCCTTTCTTGGCCGATACACAAAAGACAAGCAAATATGGCTGGTCCACTTCATGCATTGCTCCTAGCAGGAAGGGATCAAACTGAAGAAGCATAGATGGAAGTCCTAGAGTGGGAATATCCTAGGTGATCACCATTCTAGCTGGTTTTACATCCTTGTGGGTCACATCCTTCTTACTCTGCCCTCTCCTATGTCTAGACTCTCACTTTACCTGCATGCATTCTCATCCATAAAACACAATCTTAAGATGAAATCAACAACTTTGGAGCTTGGGTGGGGTGGTGGTGGTGTGGTGTGTGTATGGGGGGTAATGTGGCTTGAAGAACAGTTAGGAAAAGAGACAGACAGAATAAAAGCAAATGTTGCACTTCATCTACCAGTCCTAGAGATCTGCATGAACGTATTTATTGTGTACTCTGTCTCCACATTTCTGCTTTAAATCATCTTATCCCTCTTCCAGAATCCATTCTCTTCCTCACTTTACCATTTCAAGCTAAATATCCAAAAGTTATTTCTTTGTGATCTGCTGTCTTTAAAACTCTAATTTCCTTCTCATCTTCATAATCTTTTTCTTTTGCTTTGTCCTTTTTTTTTTTTTTTTAGAATACTCTCTAGGTAATAACCTTTAAAATTATGTTACTGACTTTCCACATATTTCCCATTCTCATTTCACATCCCTTCCTTAAGAGCTATTCCACTGCGTTTCTTCCACATTTCACAAAGTATTTCACAAACTCATTTTGTTCTGCTTTTCAAAGACCCATCAATTTCTTTCAGTGTAATCAGATGAAAATACTCCCTTCACTTGACTTGTGAACAGACAACTCTGCTTAGCTGAACACTGTAAAACAGTCTCACTAAGCAAAGTTGTTATTGTCAGTATCAGTGCTTCATAACAGCTCACTGGTGACTGCTGTTCATTCATATGCATGGAATATTTGTTTAGTACCCCACAGGTAAAGCATCCCATTCCTCAGTCTAAATAAAAATTGTAATACCAAAGTTACACTGGTGCCAGAGTTCTACCATAAACTGAAAAACAGTGATCTACATTTTTACAGAAAGATGACTGTGTGAGCTCAACTTATGTGGCTGCAGGTTAAGGGGACAGGCAATTCAATGTAGGCTGCACATCAAGCCACTTTTTTGGAGCTCAGCATTTAGAAGCTGAAGAACACAGTCACTTCTAAGATCTTATTTTTGAATGCTGCAAAATAAAAACTGTATTTAGCTGATGGAAAGATAATGAATCAACACACAATGCACTTCCACCATGAGTACATTCTCATTATATAATTCCGTATAACGTTTAGCTTCTTGCGGCATCAATCAGAGAAATATGCTTAAACTGGCACTCTCTTTTATACCTGTATCTATGAAATCTTAATACTGGTCTCGATTTAGTAATCTACAATACTATATAGAAAAATATGTATTACAGACCATTTTATTTGAAGTCACATTCTGCAATAATGTTAAGGAACAAACATGGTTGGTTACAAAAGGTAACAGGCAGTTTAGTTTACCTGGAACTTCCTTGTGATTCACAACCTTCATGGGATAGTTAACATGGATACTGGACACAAGACAGATATACTCATGAAAGCAGTATTCCTTAAGTGTACCCTAAAGACACAAAGTATCAGTGTACAGTGTACAAAAGATTTACCTGTTGGCCTTGAGGACTCTGAAGAATCTGTGCAACAGCAGCAAGGGTATCTGTATTAGCAATCTGAGATACCCAAGGATCAGGTAAACTCTGCACCACATTGGCTGGAGTAACTGGAGTCACAGGTGTTCCTAAAAAAAGTGAAAATCCAATATGCCAGAATATTTTAATGTTAGAGGAAAAAAAAACCCTGCTGTAAAAAGAATAAAGCAGACAAGAACATCCCTATTTATTTTCTACAGCAAAGATTTCTATATTGGAAGAAATAATATTATAAAGATACTATAACCTTCCTAGGACATCAAAACCAGTTATTAAATACTGAGAAAGCACCATATTAACATCAATTTAAACTATTTTTCGGACATACACATAGAGCACACAGAAATAACAGACTTACATCAACATTCCTTAAGTAGCAGGGTTACTTTCTTGAAGTATAGTTCACAGCTCTTTCTGCTATTGAGCTATGGTAACTACTAAAAAAACACTGATAAATGCAAAATAAATAGGTTTCGCACATCAATCCAAATGATTTATTGGAAACAATATATATCAAATGATAACTGTTAGCAATCTACTCAGAAAAATCTGCTAGTCCAGAATTTACTGGACTTGCACTTATGCCCAGGAGGAGTCTTAAGGATTCTACTAAAAATTTCAACCTGCAGCAGCTGAATTAATGAGAATTGACTGGTTTATCTTTTTTTTTTCCCCCCTCAGGTGGAACACTGAGACAAAATCAGCAATCTGATAATAAGATTCATGCTATAATCCAGAATAATCCTCCAACCCTGAAAATGCTCCTACTCTTAGCTCAGAAGTAGAGATACGCTGGCGAACGCTAAATAACAGGAATACTGTTTTAAAAGACAATTTGCACCAGAATTCAAAAAAGCATTAAAGCTATGACTTCAACAATTTAAAGTAATCAAACTAATGAAAATTTAAAATATTGATATAGAAGATGTAGTAAATCCAATCACATATTTACAGACACCAATGAAAAATAAGGTGGATTTGTCTACCTCCCTACTTCTTAGCATAGGATCAGCAAAAGGCAGGTGCCAACCCCAAATTTCTATATGTAAAATTTCCCATATGTTCCAATCCTGATTGAAAAAAAACCCCACAAAGTGAAAAAGGTTGAAAAGCCAGTTTCCCACCATCCACCTACTAAGAAAGATGCCTTAGAGCACAAAATGATCAAGTCTGCATGTCTAATAATATTAGTGTTTGTTAACTTGGGACATGCTCCATGAGGAATTTTTTGCTCATGATTCTCCAGCATGATTTCTGGCCCACAGACTTCAGATTCATGGGAGAGGGAAGCCTATCACTGGCTACAGCTCATGTTGACAATATGTTTTTTTCCACTCAAAATCACTGCCTGTTGGCCAGCAAAAGTAAATGACCACTGTCTGACATGATTCAGCAGGCTCAATCCTGTGGGCAGCAAAAAGATACCAATGTATGATTTCTCTCAACTGCTGAACCACTAATTAACAGTGACTCTATTAACTGCTGTGTTAGGTTTTTAACTCTGTCAGTAATCTATTTTTTTGACTTTTGAGTGCAAAACTAGGTCTTACTGCACTGTTACTCAATCTAAATATGTTTATAATACACAGTTGGAAAGTAAACACAAGAGGTTGTCCCTGGGCTTTGCTACTTCCCTAATCTGGACACTGGCTATAATATATTTCTTTCTAGAATTCATTTGATTTCTCTGAAGTACACAATTGAGATTTTTCAGCACATTAACAGCCAACATACCAAAACTGACAAAAGTGTTTTGATTCAAAGTATGACTTTAATTAAAGTATGATTGTAGTTGTTTACCTGGGGTATTGTTGCTCATAGCAGCTGTAGTGCTGGGCAAGACAGGGGTCACAACTGGCGGAGGAATTCCTGCAGCCATATCCAAGAGAGGCTGAATAATTTCACTCTTGAACACATTATTCTTCTGCCATAAATTTAACACTCTAACAATTTTACTCTAAAATGAAGAAGGGATAACAAAAAAATCTGAGTCATGCCTATCTTTCTTGTTATTTTCAATTATGGAATTCTTAATAAGTAATGTCAATCTGTCTAGATGTAACCATCTTTTGGTTTACAAACAGTAAGAACCATAGGAACAGTTATACTGGGTCACACCAAAGATGTCTAACCTATGAACCTGAGGCTGACCTATGTAAGATGCTTAGCCAACAGTAGAGACACACTATGCACATAGTGACAGTCTTCTCTCAACGGAAAATATAGCAGAACAAAACTAAGTGAATGCTAACACTTTTACATGTTATAAAACAGTATAGAAGGAAATTTACTTTAAGGAAACATTTTAAAGCGTTACTAGTAATTAAAGCAAGGAATTATTAGTCTCCTAAACTTTAACAGTCAACATACGTGAATGCAACTCTGATCTATGAAACAAAATTACTTAGGCGAACTGAAAAATGGACACATACTAATAAGACTCCTAAATACCTCTATTAGGAAAGCAGCTCGATATTTTGAAAGCTGTCTTGATGAAATGAGGAATTTAAACTGGAACACAATTCCCTGTCTACTGAAATTATATAGTAATATAAAAAATGTGGATCACAGAGAAAAATCAAAATTAAAACTTCATACAGCTCCATCAGATGTAACTCATTGTTCAGTTTGCAAATACGTTTCTATGTTACTGTTTTAAACTGCTTCCAAGTATTTTCTTTTTTAAGCTTCACTTCTACCCAGAAACAAGATTTTGCTTGATCTTGAAAAGTTGGATAGTAATGTATGCGACAGAAAAAAGACACCTTCCTTATTTTGAAAAAAAAAAAAAAGTTAGTTGTATTATAAAAGAACAGAAAGTTCTTCACAGGATCTTTTGTTTGCTGTCACAAAGATGGTTTAATTTTTTAAATTCTATAAAACATGACCATGGAGTACTTAACCACGGTGTTTAAAGGAAAAGAAAAAAAAGTCTGTCTGCCCAGAATTCCAGCTGGGTACTTCAACTTAATAGAGACAAGTGCTGAATTTTCACTGCATGGAAGATACAGTTTAGTGTTCCTTTAAAGAAATCTCTGAAGGTTTCCCATTCAGCATTACAGTATGCGAGCCTTTGAAAATTTGTTTCACAAGGCAGTCCCTGACAAGTCCATCATGGGCTCCAACTTCCCTCTTCTACCCAGAACAGGAACATAAAACTATTTCTGCACCTCAGTATCTACCTCCCCCTTGCATTTTCCATGGCTGAGTCTGATGACAGAATCAGTGGGTGGGTTTTTGCTACTTTAAATGAAATGCTACTATACTTCTATTTATTTTTCAAAAAACAAAACAAACAGTTGTGTTTCTCCATTATGCCTTTTCATCAGATTAAACACCAAAATGCTAGAAAAAGGTACATAACCTTGGTATCTTTGACAGCACAAATTTTTGCTGGGTAGGTATATGGTAATAACTTTCACATCACAAAGACTTTCCTATAATACAGAATCCATATGCAACATAGCAGCAAGACTTCAGACTGCAAAATACATTTTCCCTGAGGTGAAAAATATCCTAGAAATGAACCTAACAGGAGCTTTACAGACCATAACCAGACTATGTTTTACTATCCCTCCTCACATCAAACACTTCTAATGGGATACATTAGTTGCCATGCATTGAAATATCACAGAGTAAGTGGCACTATTTCTTACCCTGCAATAAATTTACTGTATTTTCTTCAAGTCAGACACAAACTGAGTACTTGCACCCATACTTGTGCCAGCTCTCCTTCTTCAGCAAGTCAGACTATTTCCATGTTAATATATTTTCCAGAGTAGTAAGCTAAATGATTAAACAAAAACTAATACTGCTTAAGGAATACATCTAAGTGAAGAAATACATAAGCTAACCATCATGCCTATATGTATGTGAAACACTGAAGCAGCTCGAGTTGATCATGCAAACAACCTAAAACCAGACTGGAAAAATGTCATTTCACTTAAACAACTTCTTCAGCAGCACCTCAGAACTCAGCTGCAGAAGTAGTAACACATCCATAGCAGAGTTTTACAACCACTTAAAATTTCCAGATGCCAACATTTTTTCCTGCAGAGGTCCTAACTCCTCTAAAAAGGTAGGAAACCTAAACCAACTACACAAGACATGCAATGGTTGAACGTGCCTTAATAACCTTCCATGGATGTCTTGGGTTTTCAGATATTTGCTTGAAAAATACAATTGTAGGATGGCATGCAACTATTCAAAAAATAATCTGTCTTTCTCTTCCTGCAATGTCCTGACTCACTACTTGACTTAATGAGTAGTATACAAATTTATGAGGAATTATTAAGGGCTAAAGCCCTTATCATTTCAGATCTTTTTGTAATTTTTCAATTAAATAAGAAACTTCAGCGACTGTAAAATCGGTGACAAGTACGAACGAAATTAAGCTTCCTGCACCCTCTGCTATTTCCAGCCAACCTATTTTAAAGATAGTTTGATAGCAATGTTGACTACTATGGGCCAAGGGAACAGCTGAACTATTGGGTCAAACTGTTCAAGTTAGGCCTTATTCAGCTGTCGGTAGATTCAGTATCAAAGGAAAAGTAACTTCCAAAATAGTTTGCTGTTTTTCTATTACTCCTTCAGTCCACAACACACTAGTTTGTACTGAAGTTACTACTACCAAGAAAGATTGTTTATTCCTTGAAGAAACCCGTTCATTCATTTTCTCACTGAAGAGGGGAAGAGGACAATAAAGGACTGACTACAACTCCCTATCCTACCAAATGCCCACTTATTTTTTTTCCCATCAAAATACATGAATTCAAGTGACTGCAACCTTCCTTAAAACCTTTTTGAAATTCTAATTAATCTAACTGGATAGGTCTTCCCCTATCCCTACCTTCAGAGAAGCAAAATTCAAAGAAATACATATAAATGTGTAAGTCTACAATAAGATCCACTCTAGCAAACAAAAAGTGAGATCAAAATCTTTATTCTTTACAGATAACATACAAAGATTGCTTCAATTAGAGAAAAAACTATAATAAGTGGCTTACCTTGTCATCCCCAGGACAACGGTACAAGTTCTGGAAAGTGCTGATGATGTTATTACTGAATCTTGGAGCAAACACATCCTTTTCTTGTCCAAACTGATGCCGGGACTGTCTTACAATGGAGTCAATGACATACAGACCAGGTACCTTGTATTCTGGTTTACACTACAAAGAATAATAATTTAAAATGTGCATATGTGAAAAATACCAAAACCCCTTAATGGCAGATTAAGTATGAACAGTCCTCTCTAACTTTAAATGGGTCAAAGTATTACCAAAATGTTCTCTATTTAATGACATCCTCAAAAATGAAACTCCAAAACCAACTAACCTTTAATGTTTGAATTATAACATCTATATGCATTCTGCAAATATGCAAATGGTTTAAAATCAAATTACTACTACTAAAAAAATATTTTTAGAATTTATCTATTAAAAATTAGCACATGAACCACATACTCTTTTTAAATGCAGGCACCTACTTTAAGAGAACAGCATACATCATGACCAAATTCTTAACAGTACATTGGGACTGGCTGTAAATATAATTCAAACTATTTTTGTCCTTCTTTATTATCAAAGCAAACATTAAAGTTATTTGTTTACTTTATTTTACATTGTTATAAGTAGCATGTGGTATATCCTGCTCCCACCAGAACAAACTCTGTTTGGCTGGGAATATACCACTGATACTTATTTTAAAACTGCGGAAAGCTTGCATTTACAAACAGCATTGTATTTATAAAGCATGTCTGCTAACTACAATACTAATTACTTTGATAATTTTACTTACTTCACAATTAAAGCTCCATTTATTGACTTTCAATTGCAAAGTATTTGTACCAGACTAGCACAAACAGTTTTAAGACAGAATGAAAAGTATTATAGACGTCATAAGTGATAAGTCACCACCAGAATGTACTATAACATGGACTCACTTCATGAATATTGGTTGTACACATCGCACAAGGTACTATGAAAAACATGGGAAAATATGCCCATTCCCTCTCTGACCCAGATACTGTGAAGATACTATGTGACACATTAAATTCATTATCTCTAATACAGTGTTAAACAAACTCTTCAAACTACTAATTTTATCATAGCTTGGATACAAAAGTCCTGTTTTGAAAAGTGCTGATTTGCTAGCAATCTTTATTTAGGCTCTAAACATGGTTCAGTGTTTTTAAGTATGGCATTCTCTATTTTTAGGCATGTGTCCTTTTAAGAATAAATGTACATGATTAAAATTATGAAATTAAAAGCTAACTGCATACAATACACTGTCTTCAGAGAATCACTTCAGTGTGTTGTAACTACTCAAATTTTAGCAAAATTATTACCAAAAATAATAGTATTCTTTATACAGAACAGACATGTATATGACTTTTCACAATAACGAAATTAGTAAAAACACAGATATTTAATAAGAAAACTCAGCAAATATGCTAGGTGGAGTATTTAAAAACATGGCACGTGCAGAAAGAACAAAAGATTGTAAGTAATATAGCAATATAGAAGATGAAAGAGGAAAATAAAATACAAATAAAAAAATAAATAAACAAGAATGACAGCTGGGGCAGTGAGTCTGCATATCCCCAATCTAAGTTTTTTTTACACAATGCACATTCACTTACTTTTCTAGTGAATCTAAGCAATAACATAATTTGATTACTCAAATGATTCAAGTCTTGCTCTCACAGTGGAATATCCTTACATATATGGAATATGGTCATTTGACCCCGAAGTGACATCTTGTCAGAGAATAAAACAGCCAACAAAACCAACAGAGCAGTGAGTTGTGTCATAAAACAAGGAATGTCACCGACAATTATTTCACCTGAAGTTTCAGTAACCTCATGAAATTAATTTTGAAGAAAAAAAAAAATTGGAGTAGGAAAGAATCAACAGTAAACTAATTGAGATAGCACTGACATCACTCTGGACAAGTTTATGGCTGATTTTAATGGAAGATTCAGTAGCTTTGAGCTTTAACTTGAAGTGATTGCTTCCAGAAAAATAATCCAATTATATTCCAAATATAAAACTCATGTCCATAAATATCAAATGGCTAGAGAAGCGCTTTCATCTACTTACCTCTGATTCTACTAAAATAAGAACTATTTGATATTAGTAATAATTTGCATGTTTCACTAAATAGTTCATGAAATACTGAAAAGAAGACATCAAACCTAAAGGGAAACATCTAATCCAGAGTGATCATTAACAAGGTCGTCCATAATAATATACATCTGCCTTCTCTAAGCACCAGAGCAAAACTCCCTTATCAAGTAGTACTAGACACCAAACACCAATGTGTGATAACCCACATTCTTAGCAGCTTGTGGAAGGGTCATCAACAGCCTGTCCAGTTCCTGACAAACTACCATTCAGAGGATAAATCTTCTCTCATGCCTCTGAATTCAGAATTGCCAATCACAGTCACTGCAACTAAAAAGCAGTATTTGGAATTCAGGCAATTAGGATTAATTTTGGGACATGAAACTGCAAATGCTACTGCTCAGAGATGGGGAAGATGTACACCTGCTCTCATCCTCCTATAGCCACATGTAGTATTAAAACAGGGATCAGAAGATATTGATCCTTTTTCTAAGAGATGGAAAGAAGTCAAAAGCAATGATCCAAAAGACAACTACTTGACAAAACAACAGCAGTGATGGTAAAGTATCCTCCTAGTCTTTACTTGTGCCATGAAACATACATATGACACCTTTTCCATATAGGACTGGTGTTCTAGTACCTAAATAATTCATTAACTGTTCTGAGACAAGAAGCTGAACCTTGTTTACACTGCCCAACCACTGCCAAAAGGCACTGGAGCATACAAAGGGCACCAAGGACTAAAAGGTAATGAGGAAGCCAGGTTACTGACACAGAACAATCTAGACTGCTTCATAAAATGGACAACAAAAGAAAAATTGCATCCAACGTTGCAACATTAACAATAACGTCTTTAGCTTGTTTGTCAAAATAAAAATGCAATTTGATCATAATTTACTCCTATTTACAAAAGAAGAAGAAATTCAGTACCTAAATGATCAACTGAACAAGCAAGTACAATGCAGACAAGGAGGAAAGACTCAGAAATTGGAATCCATGCATTTCCAAATGGAGATACAATATGCAAGTTTTACCCAAGAATAATTAACTGCTACAAGAAAACAAAGCTCTATAAAATTCTTTGTTATTCCAAATTTGTACATTAACACTGCATCTTCACAAAATGTAATTCTAATCTAGCCATATAAATATTTTTTGTTTTAAATTACTAGCAGGAACCACCAACTGAAATGTTACATCTCATGCTCCACAAAAGAGGCTGAATGGTCATCTTTCCTTCAGCTTTAAAATCTATGGGAAAACCTAGCAGAAAAGCAAAAGCAACTGTCACTCACCAAACCACTTTTAATTCTTTTACTGTTAGCTGTTCACATGGACTACACTGACAGCCTCTTTTAACATTAAATGAACGCACATAGAGGAGTAGTCCTAAGACAGTATCCACAGTCATTCAGATCAAAGTATATCATAACTACAAAATGGGGACAAAGTATTTATCTTTCTGCATCATGGGTTATGATCACCTACTGATAATTAGCAGAAACTGAACATGACTAAAAACTGAAATAAACTTATGTGTGATAAAAATATTAATCCATATGTATACCTAAAACCCAATCATCTTCAATACTCTCTAATTCAAAATGAGGACATTTTTCTCAGTGCTAACAAAATATCCGTGACTGACTTACCTTTTGAATGAATTTCTCAACACTCTGTACAACATGCTTGTAGAACTGCAAAATAAAATAGTATTTCAACAGAGGAGAAAATCTTGAGATACTTATACTTGTTCAAGTCATGCAGTATTCATAGTAAAACCAGAATTAGAAACCTTGGTCGATTAACCAGCAATCCAAGATCTACAGCTGAGTGTGCTGTCTTCCTTAAAACTTTTAACAGCATATAAAAAGAGCTAATCTCACTTTTTCTCACCTTCTGAAGGTTTTTTTTACACAGGATTTTTTAAAAATAAGTTGTGCTTATTTAGTGAGAGCTGAGAATAATATAATTGTTCATTCAAAAACATTATTTAATTGTACATGACTGAAGATATTAACCTAATGTTACTAAGCACAGTACTTCTCTGTATTTATTTTCCAAGTGTTCACTTTAATAACCTAAAAACATGAGTATAGGAAGACCTTATAACATCTACTGAATACTTTTTCTTAAAAATTGGCCTGTTTTTTTTTTAGCTCACGTGTCATCACAATGGCTCTAAATCATCTCAATAACTGCTCTACAAAATTAAATGTTGTTATTGAAATGATAAAGAGTGGAAGCAGGATTTCCAAGTTAAATACATGATAATACATTTTGGTATAATTTAATTGCTTAATTTATAGAACCATTTACTATCATTTACTATTGTTTATGTCCAATAAAAGTTTTCATAATTTTCATTATATTGAAACACAGACTAATTTACATAGACTTCACATATTTAAGCAAGCCAGTGAATTTCACTCTTCTGTCATCAAATTACTCTCTCTCCAAATCACACAAAATCCCAATATGGACAGATTGCATAATCTGAAAATGTATCTGCATTCCCATAAGAACACAGGTAGGAAGAGCATAAGTTCATGGCTTTTAGCTTTTATCCTATCCTCTTTTCCACCTGTCCAGTTTTCACTGAGTTTCCATTTGTTTTAATGCTTAACACTAATGGCATACTTCTTTCTTTCACCATTTTTCAGTCCTATTTTCTGCTGCTCCATTGCTGTTTGGCAATTAGTTTTACTTTGAGGCAAGAAAGTCTTTAATTAGTGTACTAATGCTAAAACTTAAGCACAGTTCGTATCTAAGCAACATCAAAAATAGAATGAACACTACCATGAAAAGTAGTCTAGGAATTTATAAAAATTAGATAAAACTTAAACAACTGTACTGATTCAAAGACCAATATAGCTTATATTTGGGCAGGGGTGGGGTGTGTGTGCGTGCATAATTAGTTTTATATTTATTCATCTGTTCTCAGGAAATGTGTTTCCGTTTTAAACTGAGGGAAATAAACTCTGTTTTTCAGACCTGATTGAACAATCAAGTTGGTACAGAGTGAAGAGTCAAGTTGGTGTAATTCTTTCTCACATACAACAACTAGAAAATGGAAGTCACACAACAAACTACACCTTCTGTTGCGCTCCTGAAAATCCCATCACTACATTTGATCGTAACTTGGAAACTACAGAGAACAAGAGAGGTGGAAAGTTCTGCAGGAAGTTCTTTAAGATATTTAGTTATTCTGATGCAGATGCAAAATGGAAAGGAAGTCAAAAGATGTTAGCCAATTTCTTACCTTTATAGCCTTGATTGCTGCCTTGGTGATCTGTGTCATTTTAGCTTTAGAAATGGGTGGCTTATAATCATTTAGCGAGTACAACTGAAAAAAAAAAAAAAAAGTTATCAGAAATATATTCTGCAGCTTTAAGTAGTATAAAAATAGATTATTTTTCCACAAGAAAATGCCACTTTTAATTCTGATCAAGTTTTAAATATATATTACCAGAAAAGGCATCTCCATTTAAAAAAATATTAAATGGTCCAATGAAATATAATGCAAGATCCAAAATGCTTAAAAGACAACAGGTTTTTCTTTGCAATGGTCACTATACACCTAGTTTTGCTATCACTAAATATAGGAGACACCTGCAGGTGAAGTTACAAAGGAAATACATATGATATGCAAATATGTTAGCTCTCATTAAGTTTTTTCTTCTAGGGCAAAAAAATTAATACACTTAACTACCTTTATGGAAGCATAACAGATGCTTAACCAAAAACTTACTATATTCACCATCATATGCCTGCTGAATCAAATATCTTTATTTTCCATTAAGCAAAAAAAAATCCAGCCCAGTGAGAAAGAGCATGTAGCAATTCTATCACTTAAAACAGCAGATCTGGAAAAAGTATAGACTTCCTTCATTCACTGCATTAACTCAAGAGATAATATATCACTAGTATTACAAATGCTTAAGCAAAAATCCATCTGAGTTCTCAATTTTAACACAGCTTTGTAACGTCATGAATGTCTAACCACCAAAACAGCCACAGTATACAAGTAGTGGAGTTTTGCAACAGTTTTCTCCCAGAATGCAGTAATAACTCTATTCTTTTTACTCATACATGCATCTCCCGGCAGAAGCAATCCAGCATGACATATACTCATCAGAAGTTTGCTGCATAGTGAGAACTGTACATTAACCAACTTCATAGCTATGACTGATAAGTGGTAATTGGAAACAACTCGTTCCTTCACACTGAGTCAGGACTCCATCATCCAAGGCTATTTACTTGCTGTGAAAACCTTCAATCATTCACAATATATGGCTTTGAACAAAATGCTGCTCTTTTCTCCTTCAAACAAATCTAGGTGTTAACAGAGGTCTGTCTAAGATTTGTTGCTGCCATACATATAAAGACCAGATACAAAATACCAATACAGTTTTAAAGACTTAACTTGCATTGTGTTTTTGTCTAAAACATTCATGTTTATAAGTATATTCGCTCAAAAATAGAGCCCTGATAATTGGAATGACCACCCACAGTTTTTTAACTTTCTTCCTAAAGACAAGAAGAATCGGGAATTTTTCCATACAATGGCCTCTGAAACAGAACCAAAGCCAAAAGACTGCTCTTCCCTCCTACTACACATCCTGACCAATGCAATATATTGAACTAGATTAATATCCATAAAGATATTAAGAGTATATTTAACTTCCTAAGATTCATTCAACTTTCAGCAAATGGCTACCTCAGAAAACATAGTGCAATAATTTATCATTCTGAAGCTAGTATGTAGACATTCTTCAATTGTATTTCAGTTTTCACAACAGGATTTCTTCTCTCTGCATACATGAGATACTTTCTTCTATCCTCTCCTGTCAAAACCAGTTTTAAGTAAAACTTTGCATAACTATCTAAAGACAATATGAAAAAAACTGGTTTGTCCAAGCATAAGTATCAGTGTATCAGCTTGGAAGGATTTCCATTAAAACAGTGAAGTTATAGTCAGTTCACAGCTAGACATCCATTTTTATAACAACTGTTACTACTTCTCACTAATGCTAATTGCTGTTGTAAAATATTCTGAATTATTTATGCACTTCTTACACAACAACAAGCTTCTAGAATCCAAATACATAAATGCTCTTCATCACCATGAGGGAAAGGGAGAAGAGGGGCAGAAAATCAAGAACCTCCCATCAGTTTCTTCTGTTTTATACTCATAGTTTAGTGCTCAACTTCAGTTACACACAGGTGATTTACCAGACTGTGGGTCACTCCTCCTGACACTCGGTGGTGTGATGTGCAACTACAGCTAAACTACTTCTGGGGCCACTACAGTGCCAGAAACAGTTTTCTTGCACTCGGGCAGTGCCTCATCAGACTCAGTTTGGGTATTCCTGATCAGCACTCTCAAAGCCCAAAATACTAGTAAAATCAATTGGCATCAACCTAGATTCCAGTAGCCACCTTGCCCATCTGAAAACAGTCCTGGAAGAGATAGGAACAGTAGCTCCTTCACCTATGACACACACAGATATGAGGCGGCAGAACTGCTGACTCACATAGATAAACTGAGACCACACCTGACCAGTTCATCAGCTTTGAAATTACCAGAAAAAAACAAGGGAACAGAGTGGTTCAAAGCACTGAGTAAGCTACAACACAGTGCTGGAAAACACAAAGAGTTGCACACAATTGATTCTGAAGCACCAGATGCACGCCGTCAGGTATCTTGGTACCACACATCCAGAATATGCCAAAACCCAACAGGATCAAATAGGTTGTTGCTAGCATCCCATTACTTTCTAACAGGTAGGAGAGAGCCCAATTTAGCATCAAGTTTAAGGATAGACAATTCAAGACGGAAAAAAAGAAAAAATGAACCAAAAGAAACAGCAAAATTAAAAATATAATTCCATAGAGAAAGACTTTTTGGACAATAGATACACCTGTTTTAACAGCAGTTTAAAGGAAAATACAAATCCCAAATTTATTCCCTGGAGGAAGCCAAGAAAAATATTGTCCTACTGAATTATTTTTCCTTAATTGTCTTTAAAAAGCCTTTAAGTGTCTATAAAACATTTTGTTTTGAAAAGTACATTCAGTTGGAAAACTGGTAATTTATGTCTATCTGTGCATGGCAGAAACCTGAAGCAGAATCATTTGTATTTGGGACAAAGTGAGGGCCCAGTATCTACTTCCAATTTTGCAACATTTAATGCAACACTTGCTTTTTGCTTTTGAAAAAATTAATACTAAGTTTTACTTACAAACTCAAGAAATGCAACATTTCTTAAAATTTCTTAACTCAATCTGTAAGTATTAAACAGAATTTAACTATAGAAAACATAGACATCCCCAGAATGGTTTAATGCATACATTTATAAGTCAAACAGGAAATCCTGTCCACTTAGAATCATAAAATGGTTTGGTCAGAAAGGACTTTTAAATACCACCTACTTCTAACCCCCTGCCATGGGCAGGGACACCTTTCACCAGATCAGGCTCCTCAAAGCCCCATCCAACCTGGCCTTGAACACTTACAGGAAGGGGGCATCCACAACTCCTCTAGCAACCTGTTCCAGTGTTTCACCACCCTCATCATGAACAATTTCTCCCTTATATCTAATCTAAACCTACCTCTTTTAGTTTAAAATTGTTAAACCTTGCCCTATCACTACAGGTCCTGGTAAAAAGTCTCTCCATTTTTCTTATAAGCCCCCTTTAAATACTGACAGGCCTCAATAAGGTTTCCATTAAGCCTTCTCTTCTCCAGGCTCAACAACCCCAACTCTCTCAGCCTGTCTTCACAGCACAGATGCACTCCAGCCCTTTCATCATTTTCATGGCCCTCCACTGGACTTGTTCCAACACATCCACGTCCTGTGCTGAGGACCCCAGAATTGAATATAGTATCCAGGTAGGGTCTCCCAATAGCAGAATAGAGGAGAATAATCACCTCCCTTGACCTTTTGGTCACACTTCTTTTGACACAGCCCAGGATACAAGTGGCTTTACAGGCTGCAAGCACACATTGCCGGCTCATGTCCAATTTTCCATCTACCAACATCCCCAAGTCCTTCTCCTCAGGACTGCTCTCAATCCATTTGTCCCTCAGCCTGTATTGATGCCAGTGATTGCCCTTGACCCAGGTGCAGGAGAACCTTGCACTTGGCCATGTCAAACTTCACGCAGTTCATGTGGACCCTCTCCTCAAGCCTGTCAAGGTCCCTCTGGATGGCATCCCTTCCCTCAAGCATATGCACTGCACCACTCAGTTTGCTGTCATCTGTAAACTTGTTGAGGGTACACTCAATTCCACTGTCCATGTCATTAATAAAGATACTAAATAGTATTGGTCCCAATATATATCCCGTGAGGGATAGCAGTCATTACTGATCTCCATTTGGTTACTGAGCCATTAACTGCAACTCTTTGGATGTGGCCATCTTGCCAATTCCTTATCCATCCAATAATAAATCCATCAAACCCATCTGCTCTACTGCTAAACTGGTAGAGAAGCAAGACTTAGTTGCCTCTCTAGTAATGAAAACTATTTTTTCATCTAGCACAGATGATTTTGAAGACAGCAGGCACTTAAAGAAATCAGATATTCTTGAAATCTAGTTAAAGAAAAATAACTGCAGTTTATTCAGGATTATAAAATATGAAAATAAAAAGCTACAAATATTTGTATTATTTTTGTTTTTAAAACTTGTGCTTATATTCTAGCTCATTTCTTCCTGTACGACCTTTTGTACAAATGCTTAGCCAAAAGTTTGCTATAATTATTTCTTGATCATGTTTTTGTAAGGCATTCATGCTCACTGGCAGATAACTACTTGTCCTCATATAAAAGAAGCCTTTAAACAAACTATGAAAAAGTAGCAACATGGCTAAACACTAAAGTCAGGGAAACTACCTGAAGTCAAATTATATATTTCAGAAAATCTGGAATGGTATCCAAAAAAGGGAGGGTAAAAAAAGCTCTAACAGGTAATGTACATGTGAAAAAATACAGCAACCAAGTTTGAGAAACAAACAGGAAAAAACATAAAAATAAGCCCTTTTCAGAACAGAAAATGAATAGCAGATCTATTAGAGTGGTCTTCCACAGCCAGAAGACAATAAGCACATAAGGGTGGACTCATGGGAGATGAAGCCCTACAGAAAAAGAACCCTCTCCTTCTCTTTTTCGATCTACACACTGAGAAAAAACTGTGGAGACTTCCCATAGCAGAATCCTCCTCAAGTGTGTTTATAAGAAGGTGAAGAACAAGCTCACAATGTTGAAAATAATTAAGTGCTAGAACAGAACTCAAGAATGAAAGACCTACTGGCTATGATTTGGGAATTCTCACTTAAAACAGT